ATAAATCATTACAAATCACTTCCTAGTTGAAGGCAGGCTTTTGCTAATCTATGCACGCCTTATACTATATCTCTACTAACTTTAATAACCTGCTCAATAGTAATAAACCTAGAAACATTATCCTTAATGTCTTCTAGTAGAGGGATAGGGAATAGTGACATTGTTTCCTACACAGTATGTAGTCCATAATATTTTGACTATCAATAAGTAGCTGGCAGTCGAGTAAACCCCTCTCTATCACCGCCTGCAGCCCAAGGGGACATGCCCTTCCTTCAGCATCTTCTGGTGATGACGCTTGAGATTTCCTTGCCCCTGTTGCTATGTGTCGCCCTTGATGGGTGATGATTTCCCATGCACTTGCAGCTTGAAAGTAGCTTCTTAGTATGCTCCATCCGTCCTAATATAGTATTGTCCCTGCATTTGGTTACCCATACGTGACTGAGTTCCTAGGTGCGGCTTCATGTGCAGTCAATTCTCTTGTACCAACTCCCCTATCCCTTTAAAAGCTAGCTAGTCTAAGGCCGCTAGCTCTTGGACTTGTCCCGGCTCTTGTATATGGTCATCCCAAACCGCCTTGTTCCTCGTCATCCAGATATGCCAAAATATAAAGGACTGTTGCATTATCTCCTTGTCCAGTGCTGACAGTAACCAGTCTTGGAACCAATCCACCTGGGACCTTGTCAGTCCTCTATCAAAATCGAATCCTAGAAGAGAACACCTTCATATTCTCTTTGAATGCTCACAGAATATTGATTCCTCTAATATAATTCTGGACCTTAACGATTCAAATGAGCGACAATCAGCCTCAGGATTATAACCTTTCACCATATCCAATTTTGGGTCCTTGTCAAAACAATACCACGGTTGAACACGGACCACTTTATCAGCTTCTTTCTGGTACTCCTGATTTATGTCATCCGCGTCATAATCGCTGTCTTTGACATTATCTCGATCGACATAATCATAATCCACTTCACCCATATTTTTCTCAACTCCCCCACCATCATCAGATACATAACTACATTTGGAATCACCATAATCACACTTAGAAGCAGAAACAGTATCAGAATCACCTGAAACTTCAATGTCATCATCACCAGAACATGATCCCCACTATCATAAATATCATCTTCACTATCATCAACACAATCACCCTGTTCCGCGACTCCTTTTGAACATTGGCCAATTAAAGGATCCGCGTCTTCTAGGTCAATCATGTATACAACTATCATCCGCTCTTTTTGAACAATATTGTTCCCTATCATTGCCTTAATATCCTTACCTCCAAGTATATGCTTAAATCCAGAATATTCAACCCTGTTTCTATCCCTATAAAACAATGTGTGGGGTCTCTTAGCACCGACCTTATCAACATATGACTTCATGGGCTCCACAATAAGGGAATCTTCATCTATAAAGTCAATATAATCAACTTTGCCACCAACATAATTCAGCTCTGTCATCATCCGAAAATTGCCCCATGGTGGATTTTGGCAGTTAATAAGTTCGCGTCCTCACCTATTAATTAACAATACTATATTCAGTTCATCCAATCTACACAGTAACTATAAATTAGAGTTACAACCTTTCATTGTTCAACTAAATCAAATAACAAAATCATGTATAAGAAATATAGATCTATGCATTAATCTACTGAAAGAAGCAAAATTCGTAAACTGGTTCAAAGCATATCAATCTAATAGTACTTACTATATTCTGGGACTTTTCCGTTGTCAGCCATTATAGCTACCCATTCAACATCAAGATACTCACCCTGCAACGAATCCATTCACACTGAGTTCAAATATGAACTGAAAGAGTTGATGGAGTCCAGAACGGAATCCTTCACTTCCTCTGGAACTCAAGATTCTGACAAGCCTCTTTTCTCGATACGTCAATTTTATGACGCCCAACTACTAGATATGTATTAAAATACTAGTTTCTCATATTCTTGTCAACGTACACCATCCCTCACCGTTCATTCCGACAAAATATGAAGATGGCCAATATCCGGAAGAGACGATTTTACCCATGCACGTGTTTGGGAGCTTCCGTTATGGTTTTTTCTGATACAAAGATGGAAAGATAGCAAAAAATACTCTCCTTATCAAGTGGGTTTGACTCTGAAAAGAGTTCGGCATATCATATGCTTAAGCAAAAGAAGGATAATGCTTATTCTTTACAACGACTTTCACCATCTGCATACAATGCAATTTCCTCTTTCCCAAATTTTTGTAGGGCATTCTAAAAAATGATAAAGGAAAAAGAAAACGATGATTAACAAACCATATAAAGAATAAAGAAGTATAAAAATCAAAAAGCAAAAACCAGAATCAAACTTGACGAAAAAAAAAGCAATACAGATGTTGGCCTGACCAGATTTATTGAAGATGATTCGAAGTCATAATTTCACATTGATCATCCACCCACATCCAATTTTGCTTCAACTCTTTGACAGGGTTCAATCTTCTTGACATTGACATTGTATCAAAAAGAATAAAAATGTGGTGTTTGTCAGTTCTTGTGCGATTGAGGGAGTGTTTGTGTTGTGGATGATTTTTAATTTACATATGGCGTATACATATATATATATATATACACACATATATATATATATAGTTAATAATCAAAGCACATGACATTAGAGTTCCGGTTTTGCAGGAAGTGGGATAAAGACGTAAGGCCAAATTCGTCCATGACTTATGTAAATTACCACCAATTAAGGTGTAATCTAAAGAAAACAGGGAGATCATGATTAGGGATTATCTTCTGAATTTGAACAACACAAGGAACGGTATAGCCACCAATGTGATAAGCTTCACATTCAAATTTGGAAAATTAACTAAGGAAAATATTTTAATCCATTTATGAAAGTGAAAATTCTTCACGAAAGATCTTTCTTTCTTTTTTTTCTTTTCTTTTTTTTTTTTTTGAACATCTCATGTGAAAATTCACCTAAAATAAGCCAATTCTCACAAATTTTAGAAAGAGTAATGATAAAGATAGTGACTAATTATAGTGAAAATGTATAGTGACTAATGAAAAGACAAATACACCTACCTTATTAAATATGTGTACTTATTAATTAAGGGTAAAATTGTAATTTTTAGAGAAAGATAAAATTTTAACGGGAAAATGACAAAAAACTAGAGGTTAAGAATACTCCACATCACTCGCTATCTTTTTTCACTATGTTTTTCACTAGATATATCATTAATATATTAATTACCTTTATCAGTTATCAGTTTGACTCATAATCTATAATATATTATACAGAGAGAGAAAGCAAAAAATGATTTCTAAAGCGCCACATAGGAAAAAATCCAACCTGGCATTTTCTCATAATTTAGGCCAAAAAATTTTCAATATTTAGCTAATAGTCCATAGAAAATATTAGTTATAGCATACGATATCACATTCATTAATTATTATAATTAATCAACATTAAATATGCCCAATAACTATTGATCTCACATTCAAAAATTAAGGTAAAACATTAATGTACGGGAATCATGGAACTTAATACATTGGAATATTTTTTTGGAACAAATTGATTTTCAATTCAGAAAAATAAACAATTCCTCGCAAATAAACAATTCCTCCCTAAAATAATCTCCAAAATTATTACTAGATGATTTAATGAACAATACTAAGCAACTAAAATTATGTTAAAGCCCTCAAACTTTGCCCAAAATAAACAAATCACTTAATCATCATAATTTTTAAGATTTCACCATACGCAGCACCACCTAAACTATTTTTGGAAATCAATTTCCAATCTCATCCAAATACCACAACTTTTAATTGACAAACCAATTTATGATAAATACCTTCCAAAAATTAGGCATATATTTTTGGCAATCAATAAATAACTTATAAATAATTAATTTCTAAAAATTTTCCATCACGATCCACAAAATCTTCAATCAATACCTATTTTTGAATTCAAACATCAGGTAACAGGATATTATACGGGGGTATTATAAGGGAATAATTAATCAATGTAAAATTCAAAATTCAAAAACAAATCCTTAAAAAAATCCCCGACTGGACCTAAAACCAGGCCATTAAGTCCTATTCTACCCTGACTATAAAAGTATAATGTGTGCATCAATCTTTTAATTTTGAGGGAAAAAATTTAGTTCCATATCTACCATAATCTGGTCATATTGGAAAGGTACGATTTCCCCATTAATTCTAAAGATGTTTACTCTATTCTATAGAATTTTTTCCTTAAATATATTTTCTTATATATACCTGGACAAAAATAAATATTTCAAAAATTTTGTGGACAAACTTATATGTCCCGGATTTAGAAATTTCGAATGGGGGTAAAACTTGGATTTCGGAAATCTGAACCCCAATAAACTCGGATTATAAAAATCCGACTTTCTGTTACGTAAATCCGATATTAAGTTAATGATAGAAATTAGTGTAATTAATCTAAATCCAGATTTTATAAATCCGTATTTACGAATAAAATATTAATTTCCGGATAGAGAAAAAAAATGTCTTGAAGAATTAAATTTGGGGAAAACCGGATCACGGTAATCCGAATATACGTAAATTTAGATTACCAAAATCCGAATCTCCTCTGTTTTCCAAAAATGGGGACTCTCAGTTGGCTACAGACTCGGATTTCCGAAATCCAAATCCTTTACAAAAAGTCTGAGTTCGGATTTCGCAAATCCGAGTCTTTGTCAGAACTGAAAAAAAAAATTGGACTGATTTTCACCAGTCCTAAACCTGTTTACAGCACCAACAACAATGAAACATTGAAAAACAAAAATTTAATGGCAACAAAACAATAAATGGCATTCGATTAACAACAAAACAAATCAAGTTTCATACAAAAATCAATACAAAAACTACTTTAAATATGCAAAATACATCAAATGTCTCATTTTTTTCCCTTTTCCTTTATTGTGCGCATCCGGAGTGTATTTGTTTGGGCCCTGCCGAATCCTGTCTCCCCTCTTAAAGTACGTGAGTATTGAACTCTATTGTGGTTGCGACTGTCCACCAAACTGAGCCTCGAGTTGGGGTTGGGATTGGGACTCCCCCATGGTGAGAAATTTGACTCCCGGTTGTGGTTGCGACTGTCCACCAAACTGAGTCTCGGGTCCACCAAGGTCAAACTGAGTCTCGAATCGACCAAGGTCAAATTGAGTCTCGGTTCCACCAGCGTCTTCAAAATGAGTCTCGACCTGGATGCGCGAGCCTCGAGAAGAATGTGCTTGATCCTCATTTTGTTGACCCTCAGTTTGTTGTTGCGATGTCCGAGGGGGGATTGTGACCTTCCTCTTTCTTCCTCCTCCAATCTTATCTCTCGACCACGGTTTTGTTTTTTTACCCGGCGGAGGTTGTGAGGGCAATGATGGATCTTCATCAACCAGGATTTGGGTATCCTCCACCTCCATCTCATCATTTGCGCCCAAGGTTAAAGCAGCATGTGTTTGATTGATGATATCGTCCAAATGCTTGTCGAGTTCTTCATCTAGGAGATTCTCATCTTCTCGTTTTTCTCTAAACCTCTCGGTACTCACGCGAATGTTGTTCAATACTTCACTCTGAAAAGAAATTGGGACGTTAATTAAGAGAATAAAATTCTAAAAAAATAAAAATAAAAAAAATAAAATGAAAACATAAGAAATAATAAAAGAAATATAGAATGAACTCACATATAATTTCACGCAGCTCGAAGAAGTCTCGTATCCTTGAGGTTCATAATTACCGGGATCGGATATCAGTCTAACAGTGTTCACCATGAACCATTCATAGTACCCCTCATATACGGAACCAGGATCTCCTTCCTCCAAATCTCGTAGCACGTACTCTTCTCTCCTATTCCAATGACGACGTACTGCGGAATGGTGGTCCACCCAATTATTGCTAGGATACCCAGACATATTGTGGGCGTGATCGAGAAAGAATGCTGCGTTATCTTTAATCATGGGGGGCTTGGGAACATCTTGTATGTATCCACATTGTCTTATGACTCTGCCCGACTCGTGGGGTTCCCTAATAGCCCAACAGAACATCCAACACCTGGTTGTCCAAATGGCTTGGCCTTGTGTACAGAAATCAGGGAGTCTATGAAGGACATGTGCATATGGTTGCCACCGAAACTGCACGAAAAGAATTTCATTAGATGGTACAACCGGACGAAAAGAAAGGGGGAATTGATCTCAAAGTAAATATAAATACCAAATTACAAGTATTTACATTTTCAACACGCAGGCTTGTTAATTGATCTCTAAAAGGTGGGGTGTTGCTCCTTGGGGCGTCGCCGTAGGTGTACCTATATTCCCACCTTAATGAACAAAGGGGTACATTTGAATTAGTGAAATAAATGAATAAGAAACAAATAGAAATAAACATTGAGTTATTTTGAACTGAAAATACGTACCGCTGAGCTAATGGAGCGGTCTCATCAATCAAATAATCTACTCCTTTTCTTTGTGGCGCGATCCTCTCGATCCGCTCATACGCCCATACCTAGTAAATTGTAATAATAATGTTAAAACTTCAAATTATAACGTCGAAAGCAGAAAATAATTAAAACACAAAATGAAAACTAATACGTACCTATAGCAAATATAGACACCCAGTGGCGTCGTGCATGGTGTACTGTAATGCCTCGCACAGTCCAGAGTACAAACCAGCCAGCAGTGCTGATCCCCAACTGTATCGACTACACTGATCCAAATCCTTAACCTGGGCCAAGAACTGCAGATTGACAGTGTTTTGCGTCTTATTAGGAAACATGGAACTGCTAATAAAATGCAGTATAAGTGTCCTGGCCCTTTGCTTGAAACGATGGACAGTGGAATTCTCAGGTAGTGCAGGGCCCATCTCATCTTCGAAAATACCAACATTGACACATTGGCCATTTACTTGGGCTGGCCGGAATCCCAAATAAGCCTCACATTGATCCCGCCATTCATCTGCAGTCCGGCTAACTGTCGTCCCATACACCGGGTCACCATCCACCTGAATACCAAACAGGACCTCGACGTCCTGTAGCGTCACAGTCGCCTCTCCGAAATTGAAATGGAAAGTGTGGGTTTCTGGCCTCCACCGTTCTACCAACGCGGTAATGAGGCCGAGATCTACTCTTTTGTACCCTACTTTCATGATCCCCTCAAAACCGGCTCTCTTAATGACTTCCTTAACCTCCAGTGTCGTTTTTTTGTATATCCCCCAAAAATCACTGTCGTATCTACGGCCCTTAAAGCGGAATGTTTTAATATCTGGTATCTTGTTCTCATAGACAGCTTGGGACCTATGCTTTGTTTGACGATATAGCATTTTATCTTGTATAGGTCCCGGGTGAAGATGTTTAGGTTGATAGTCATATTGCGAGCCCGATGCCGGCGTCACCATTTCAATCCTACACAAGGTAACCAATACCATTTCAATCCAAATATGCAAAATATATAATGCACTAACCAAATACCATATACATTCGGCCAAAAAAACAATTCAACCAAACTATATACACTCAGCCAAAAAATTTAACTACCAAACCATATACATTCGGCCAAAAAAACAATTCAACCAAACTATATACACTCGGCCAAAAAAACAATTCAACCAAACCATATACACTCGGCCAAAAAAACAATTCAACCAAACCATATGCACTCGACCAAAAAAACAATTCAACCAAATAATAATACTAACATTCACAATTCACAATTCACACAACTATAATCCAACACAAATACTATAGCAACACAAACCAACACATTCACTAATCAATACAACACAAACCATCACAATTCACTAATCAATATAATACAAACCAACACAATTCACTAATCAATACAACACAATTCAAAATAAACTAAACCACAACAAATTAGACATTAGAAAAAAAACACATTCAGATTTCACAAATTCAAATGAGCTCGGATTTCAGAAATCCGAGTCTACCCTATTTCTCATCAAATTGCAAGTCTCGGATGGGTTTCACCAATTCGGATTTCCGAAGTTCGAGTCCTTTGCAAACTCAAAAAAAGTCTGAGCTCGGATTTAGAAAATCCGAGTCTCCCCTGTTTCTCCTCAAATTGCAACTCTCGAATGGGTTTCACCAATTCGGATTTCCGAAATCCGAGTCCTTTGCAAACTCAAAAAAAGTCTAAGCTCGGATTTAGGAAATCCGAGTCTCCCCTGTTTCTCCTCAAATTGCAACTCTCGGATGGGTTTCACCAATTCGGATTTCCGAAATCCGAGTCCTTTGCAAACTCAAAAAAAGTCTGAGCTCGGATTTCGGAAATCCGAGTCTCCCCTGTTTCTCCTTAAATTGCAATCTCGGATGGGTTTCACCATTTCAGATTTTCAAAATTCGAGTCTTTTGCAAATTGAAAAAAAAAGTCTGAACTCGGATTTCAGAAATCCGAATGCTTTAGAAAACCTTAAACTGATGAGTATTTTGCACAATCCCAAAACCTGTTATGAAACACTAGTACATATTTCATCACACTTTACAATCCGAACAATTCAATGTTCACATTACAATCCAAATTTATCAATGTTCACATAAATTTATCAAACACTAAATGACTCTCAATTCCACCTGTCATTCACAGGTCTTCTATCTACTCCTGGGTACGAGAACGGACAAGAATTGGCATCATGACCTAGTTGTCCACATCTCCAACATTCCCCCCGGCTCTGGCGTCCCGTGTAATCCATTTGCATTCTATGTCTCTTTTTTTGTCTTCGTCCCGGTCCCGCATGCAACACGTCTCGTCATAATTCGGAATGATGTTCCAATTGACCATCGGCCATTGTTCCTCATCGGGAACCGGAACAAAGCTAGTGTAATCAAATTGTCTGCGCCACGTTAGAAGGCGCTACACACTATGGTATAGATCAATAGGCCGATCCCCTTTTCTCTGACAAACTTGGAGTGCGTGTGATAGAGTCCATAAATTGTGTTTTAATTGTTGATATTTTATTAGTTTATGGACTCGGATGCATTTAATTCATTGATTTTGTTATTATTTCATGTTAGGAGCTGGAAATAAGAGATTGGAGCTTATTTGGGTTAATTTGGACGTCTAGGGACTTAAATGCAAAATTAAAGAAGTTTTGAGGCAAAAATAAAAATACTGTAAACTTGAGGGACCAAAGATGCAAATCGTGGACTAATTCTTCTTGTTTTATGCGGCTGACCTAATTTCTTAAAGAGGCAGTCATGGGTTACGTTTTTGGCCATGGTTTTGTAAGGAGCAGCCGCGCGTAGGAAAAAAAAGCTAGCACCTCCCACCTTTTTGTTTTTTTCCAAACTTTCATTATTTTTCATAGAGAATAAAGCCGCCATATTTCCATCCATGAGTGGCTAAGGATTTTCTTTCTTATTCAAAGGATTTATTCAATTATTTCATTATGAGGTTTTGTTCTTAATTTATTGTTCTTCCTATGATTTAAGTATTTGTTGATTCTTATATTGAGTTATGAAAATAGATATCATTCAAATTGACAACTTGATTTGTTATTTATTTTCTCGTGCTATCTGCTAGTTGAATGTTACGTAATAGACAAGAACTGGCAGTACTGAGTAGCAATTAGACAAAGCATGTGTATTGGTGAGACATTGAATATGCATGTTAGTTTAAATGTGGAATCAATGAGTCAAAGTCTGAATAGTTGTAGCTATCTCAATTGTTTAGATTTTGGTTCAACTATATTTCTTTGGTTTTTATGCTATCATTGTTTGGTATGAAACGCTATCGTACCCAGCCGAATTATGATAAGGATTAATTGAGTGCTAGGCTTGGTTAGTTAATTTAGGGAGATTAATTGATTTATTACGGCTATCCTAATAGATCTTTGGTTGAATGCTTAAATTGCAAGAGTAGTTTTAGTAGCCTATGATTAATAAAATAATTGAGTTATCCGTTCCTTGAGTCAGAAGTCTGTTACTTTGATTTCTTTTCTTTTATTTAGTTTTCGTTATTTGTATTTCATTATCTTAGTTTAGAAAAACAATCCAAAAATCTCCTTTGCATTAATTTGAAGGAAACAATCCATCGTTCCCTGAGGAGACGACCTTACTTCCCTATATTACAGTAGTTTGAAGTAGGTTATTTTATTTGTGTGGCTTGACACTCCATCAGCGTGCGTACAAGGCATCCGGTACTCTTGCCAGTTCCTGCACGAACACCTATGTTCATTGTAGTTCACCGTATGCAAAGACCCACCCCTGCCACTTAGGCGTGTTGCAGTAACAACACGCCACATATCATCATCACCATCAAAAGGGGTGGCTTCAAAACAGGCTGCTTTGTCGTTCATTTTCTCGTATTTTTTCCATAACTCAGGAGGGATCGGTGTCATGCAATTTCTCGCAGACAATTGTTCTTTTCTGTAGAATTTAACAGTTTTGCGAAAGGTTGCATCGATCAAGGCTCTAATTGGTTAAAAACGGATCCCTTTCAACGCATTGTTGAAACTCTCAAAAATATTGGTTGTCGCTATGCCCCAACGGCGAAGACCGGCTTTCAATCGAGCCCAATTACTCCCTCCAATCCCTCGAAGATACTCCCATGCAGCAGGTTTGAATTCAATAAGCTCTGCCCTCATACGATTGTATTTCACTCTTGAAAGCGTCGTGCCCATCTTCTAACATAGCCGCTTCACCTTTTCTCTATTATATCACGACACAAGCTTGCTGCGAACGTGGCGGAGGCAAAGAAAGTGGCCACCATCACCTAAATCACGCCATTCATCCATCTGTGACATTGCGCTCAACAACCCTGCATTCCGGTCGGATATCACACTTACGATTCTATCATACACAACCCACAACCTCAAATTCCTCATAAAAAATGGCCAACTCTCTACTGTCTCCTCATCCCCAATCGCAAATGCAACCGGTAAAATGTGCTTGTTTGCGGTATAGACCACCGCAACAAGCAATTTACCCGTGTATCCACCACGCAAAAAGGTTCCATCGATACAAATGACCGGTGCACATTCAAAAAACGTCTCAGCCATTGGTGCAAATGACCAGAAGACGTATTTAAATGTCCTATTTCCCCTGTTCCAACCTTCTTGTCCCTCCTTCCATTCCCACTCTACTACAGTCTCAGGATTAGTAAACTTAAGTGCAGCGATATACCTACACAACAACAAGTCATTGTTAAAATATTTCAATACATGTAAAAAAAAAAACACTAAAAATATTTCAATACACGGATAAAATTTGATATGTACCGTGAAAGTTCTTCGAAATTCGAGGTCCAATCACCATAGACTACTTCTATGGCTTTCCTCCTCCTGTGCCACGCCCTTTTGTATGGCACATCTACTTTCAATAAGGTCTTCACATCTTTCTGTGCCGAGGCTACCGTATAATCTACGTTGTCCTCAACCTTTCTCCTGATGAGTCTAGCAATCAAAGATGCGTCCACACACCGATTGTCATTATCATTCACGGGAGTCATGCAATTATGTGCATCATGCCATCTCACAATTTTATGAAGGCTGTGAGCTTTCAATGACACACGCATCTTCCACTCACATGGTGGTTCACCATCCTCACTTTCCACATTAAATGTTCTGCACCGCACAGCCCACCTCCTTGGACTACTAGCGGCGACCGTATATTCCCTTTTATGATGGATGTTCCATAATTTCATAGGATGCTTTGCTTCTGATTGAGATTTGAAACAAACACCAATGTCCATTCCTTCGGGCGTCTCATCCCACATCTTAAGAGCAAACTCATCCTTGTCCACACATGAGGCATCCCATTTCCCCATCTTACTATATACATGGCGTCGGGGCAATGGATTACAATCCCTTTCCTCATTTTCCAACATTTCATCATCACTTTCTTCAAAATCACTCTCTCCGGAGACATCACAGTCTTCTTCGCTTTCACTTGGAGCTATGTAGTCGGAATCCGACTCTTCCCGATAGTCATCTTGTGCAAATAAAGGTGTCTTCTCTTCATCACGGTTTCGAGAAGTACTAGCACGTTCCCCCCTTGGAAAACCACCAAATGACACATTTTCTAAACTCGCTTCTCTTTCTTCTTGAGTGATATCTTCCAAATCTATGTATAAATCCAAACATGACATTGGATCTACACGGTTCATGAACTCTACATGCGAATCATTCTTGATCTTCACTACACGCTAACTACCGGGACTATCGAAAATCAAAGAAAGGTGGAGTTTCACGTGTGCTGGATCCCAACCAAGTGTCATACAAATCTTACTAATCAATCCCTCATATGACAACCTTTCTTCAACAAACAAACCATCATCTGGCATATTCGAAAAAGTATTGATGCTACCGTTCTCTATCACATACTTACTTGTATGATACAAATTAAGCATGTATAATACATTACGTGCCATTGATAACTTTTAAAAAAAAACATCAATAACTAATCATTTTTTAATAACAAAATCAACAAATACACCATACAAACTCCATTCATAATTCAAAAAATATATAAAATACTAAAATACTTATAAATCAACTTCGATATCTCATTAACAACTATGATTTATCATCTCTAACCTCAAAATCAACACCTAAAACATCTAAACAACCAACCAACATAAACCCTAATCTATCATACATCATTCTAACAATCAAAATAACACAAAACTAAACTAAATAACATGGTTTTGCAATCTAACCTCTTTCAAATAACAATTCCCACGTATCTAGAGGCAAGAATGTATCAAAAGCTCTAATTCGCCCTTGTTTGAGCTGCAAAAACAGAAAATCCAACTCAGTTCTCCAATGAGAACTGCCTGAAATTTTTTTTCTTTTATAGCACGTTAAACTCGAATTTACGAAATCCGAGTCCGTAAGTAACTCGGATTTTTGAAATCCAAATTACATTAGTTTCGGATTTCATGAATCCGGATTTGGTCAATTTCGGATTATTTTATTTATTTTTTGGTCCTCCAATTTATGGCACATGCCTACTTCCACCAACCAAAATTAAAGGCAGTCGGATTTCCAAAATCCGAATTCATAAAACCGGATTACGGACTTCCGGTTTTTGGATTAAAAAATTTCGTGCCGCGATTTTCTTTTTTTCTTTTTTCTTTTTGTACCTGGACTCCTTATTTGAGTTCAAATTTTTCGCGCCTCAATTTATTATTTTTTAAGTAAATTCGGATTTTGCAAATCCGACCGGCACTGTTCATTTAAGAATTTTTATAAACTAATTATTCAACAAAATTTATTTAATTATTATTTTATTATTAAATATAGACTCGGATTTCCAAAATCTGAATCTTTAATTTTAATCAGAACTCGGATTTCAGAAATCCGAGGAATATAATTCTGTCCACAAATATTCTGAAAAATTTAAATTTGTCCACGTTTATTTTAATTAATTTTTTTGGGGAAAAAGCCCCTATTCTATGTGCAAATTTTCTTCTTGAATAATTGATGCGGTAGTTTTGGGTTGTTTGCGTTTGATTGCTCTATTACATGTAGGAAAAATACGATGCCAAAATGGAATTTCAACAGGGCGCATACGTACGATCACCTAAATGGCTAAATCAACATTTAAGGTATTTTCTTTTCGAAAAAAAAACATGGTTTTAATGATTTAATGTTGCTTTTTCTTTGTTGTTCCTGAAGAAAACAATTCATATGATGGTTGACCTCTCATTTTACCAATCAAAAAAAGGACATGGTGAGTGTTTTAAACAAAAAAAATCTTTTTCTTACTGATTTTGCTTTGCTCTGTGTCAAGCGGGTTTGATCCTCCATAATGTAATATTCTTGCGCTTTTAGCACAATAATATCTATTACTATGTGGGTTTTCTGGGACTTAGTTTTTGATTGTTGTTTATTTGGTTATTATTTAATGTAATTTATATGCAGATGTGAGTTTCAAGCTGCATATGATCTATCCGCCGATTTGGCTTTTCTTGATGATATATTCATTTTTGATAAGGTACGTAAAATATCTTCTTTATATTCTCTACTACTTTTGTTTAATTTTGATGTGGATGGAAAATACCAAAGCACTAATTGAATTATGTCTTTAATTGTTTTGTTGTTGATACATTTCTATTTGGTGATTAAAAAGATCGGATATTGAGAAATGGATTCAGATTATTGAACAAAATCTGGCTATATGGCAAGATGAATACGATTGACATAAATAAAAGCAAAAAAAAAAAAAAAAAAACACACACACACACACACACTCACAACGTCCATCATGTTTTAACATTTTCGAGAAAAAAGAAACTATGGGAACTGGTATTCACGGTGAACTAGCACTCACAAAGGCTTTTTTTTTCCCCCCTCTATTGTGTTAATGGTCTTGATTTAATTATTTTTCTTTTAATCTTCCATAGTTTATGATGGGAAGACTTAATTTTTGTTTAGAATATTGAAATAAGAAAATCCCTATTTTATATAAATGATAAATTTAATATGTATATTCTTTATTGACCAGCGTAAAGTACAATTAGTATCTCAAAGTGGCCCAAAACGATTTCAAGAAACATAAATCTCGATTAGTTTGGTTAGAATTTCTGAAATGAAAGTATTTTTTAAAATTATATAATACTGGAGCCATGTCTAATGCATTTTACAGAGATCAAATGATCATCTTTATTGAAGACAATAGAATACATGAATGGTTGTTTTTCAATTTGCGTTCTAACTTTGAAGCCGGACAAAATGACGGATGCAAGGAATTTAGTCATGCCGAGAAATCTCAGGTAGCAGTTGCGTCTCGGTGGGAATTGTGTCGTTCAAATATTCAAGTCAACAAATAATCAAAGTTAAATCGGGTAGAGGATTCAATCAACTCGAAACCTTTGAGATGATAAATACCCTGCATTTTTACCATCCTCAATGGATCATTACAATGAGAGTAAAAATTTTGTCCTCTTATTTGTCTCTTCATTTTTTTGGATTTATGGCTTCATGCCTTCATCTTTTCATCTCTAGCATTTTTTTGCATCCTCGCACACTGTAGTTAACAAGTTTTAAGATAAACATCATATTTCTATGGAAAACAAGGTGTTCCTGCTGACCAACATTGTTTTTAACTAGAAGGGTTAAAGGGTATAAAACATCCCATGGAAGCAAAACATTTCCACATTTCCGTGTTGTCGATTTTATCATCGGGGTTTTTTTTAATCGACGTTCTAGTCGATGAATCGGATTAAAATGTCGTTGACTTCGTCATCAAGCTCCTTTAGTCGATAATAAAGCTGACTGATTGGATAATAAAGTATAAATAGAACCTTTGTCGACTTAGTCATCGTGATTTTTAGCCCGATGGTGCACCCGACAGTTTCAGTTCAGCCCATGAGAGACATCTTTGCAAATTGTAGATATAAAATTGTTTTTTCTCCATTAATTGGGGGCCTGAGTTCACTTTCCATGTTCTTTCTACCATTCATTCCTAGCTACCCCAATTGGTCCACATGATGAAGAAAAGACAGTTTGATTACCTGCAAATTGAGAGGGCGGGTGGAAAGCATCAGGTGTGTGTTGTTATAATCTTGTGCTATGTCCCAAAATTATTGTCCAGTTTGAGATTTTACTTTTAATACAATTTGAACTAGAAATGAAAACCCAAACTGGACAATAATTATGGGACGGAGGGAGTACATCATTCTACAAGGACATTAGGTTGTTAGTGAGTTACTGGGTTGGAATGGCATCACCCGATTAATAAAGAAGAAAGTTGCCTCTTACTATATTCCGCAGAATTCATCCGGATTCTTTGCCTTTAAATTGTAGTCCTTTATATATTACCAAAGGAAAAAAAAACAAACTGTAGAGCGTTATAGTATACCATTCAATGGATTTGCACATCTTCCTTTCTAATTGTCTTCATCTTTAACTTCAAAGATCTGTCAACTCTCAGCTAAATCCTTGAGCAAAAACCAGTTTGTAGTTTACATACATATGCAACAATGCTTATCACAAAACAAATCCACAGTTTGTATGAGATGGGAAATCTGGATCAAGCTGTTCTTACTATTTCAATCCTGATGCTTTCCATCTTATGATTGTTAGCAATGATATTCAAGAAGACTGATAAGAAAGTCCCTTTGCCACCAGGGCCAAGGGGCTTGCCAATTGTTGGATACTTGCATTTCGGGGCACAACTTTGCATACTCGGTTCGCTGAATTGGCTCAAAAACATGGCCCGATTTTCAAGATCAAGCTTGGAAACAAACTCTGTGTTGTGCTGAGCTCACCTTCTCTAGTCAAAGAGGTGACCCGAGATCAAGATGCCATCTATTCTGATCGGGATCCTCCTGTTTTAGCACAAGTCCTAACTTATGGAGGACTCAACATGAGTTGATCTCCCTATGGCTCTTACTGGCGCAACACCCAAAAATTATACGTGCGAGAGTTGCTTAGCGGAACCAACATTGATGCTTGTTATGATCCAAGAAAAGAGGAGGTGATTAAGGCCATTGATGATGTTAGGACGAAGTTGGAAAGCCTGTAGAGATTGGTCGACTGGCTTTCCAAACGGAGCTTAATGTGGTTTTGAGTATGGTTTGGGGTGGGACACTTGAAGCTACCCGGCAAAGTACATTAGGAGCTGATTTTCAGGGTGGTGTTTGGGAAAATGTTGAATCTTCTTGGAAAGCCAAACGTATCCGACTTATTCCCAATTCTTCGCAGGTTTGATTTACAGGGACCTGAGAAAGAAGCCGAGGCACTTCTACAACAAATTGATAGGATTTTTGATGCAGTGTTTAATGAAAGAATGAAGATGGTAGAGGATGAAACGAAAATCGGTGGAAGGAAAAAGGACTTTGTTCAACTCCTCCTTGAGCGTAAGAAGCTGGACCATACAGACGGGAAGAAATTTCCATGTTGCAGAGAAAAGCCATTTTACTTGTAACTTTTCTTTTCCTTCCATGTCTCTGAATATGCGATCTATGAACTATGCTATCCCTTTGCCTGTTTTTTACGGCTAATCTTAGTTTTTCATCTTTTCTTTTTCTTTTTTTTTTGTTTTTTCTTCATTTGCTATGTGAATTGGAATACTTAATTCTCATGTAAAATGAAGGGCATCGTGATGGGAGGGACAGACACTACAGCCAAGATGACAGAATGGGCGATGACAGAACTCGTGCATCAAAGGGAAGTCCTGGAAAAGGTCCAGAAAGAACTTGAAGATGTGGTAGGTTTGAACAACATTGTTGAAGAATCCCATCTGCCAAAATTGCATTATTTGGAAGCCGTAGTGAAGGAAACTCTGCGCTTGCATCCTGCTATTCCTCCGCTTATCCCAAGGCGGCCGAGCGAATCCTACGTTGTAAGCGGATACAATATCCTGAAGGATACTGGGATATTCATCAATGCCTGGGCTATACATAGAGATCCTGAGCTCTGGGATGATCCTTTACAGTTCAAGCTAGAAAGATTTCTGATTTAACCAAAGAAATGGGATTTTCGTGGTAACAATTTTCAGTACATTCCATTTGGATCAGGGAGAAGGATATGTGCAGGAATTCCCTTGGCTGAGAGAATGCTCAAGTACTTATTGGCTTCCCTCTTGCATTCATTTGATTGGAATCCAACTAGAAGCAAAGAGGAAGACTCTTCTGATAAATTTGGAATTGCCATGAGGAGAAGTACTCCATTGTTGGCTATTCCTACCAAGAGAACCCCAAAAAGCTGGCTAGTTTGACATCATCTGCCAGAGTTCTCGTGGTATTATTGCTCAATATTATTGCCACCAAAACATGTGTCATTGAATATTGCACGAAAATAAACTGCCTTATTTTCAACATCAAAACTTGTTATTATCTTTTGATGTACTTGTCCATGATCAGTCTTGAACCAGCAAATTTGCCAATTGTAAGACTGACGTCCTTAAAATTCCTTAAAGTCTCATCGTTTTAGTTTACTTGGGAACTACATATTGTTGACGAGGCAATTTTTTAAGGTTGATACAACAATTCAAAATGTTAGATGTAAATATATAGGAATCTTATTCAATTATAATATGTTCCTTGAAATATGAAGCCAAAATAGTGACAAAACTAAATTAGACAACGGGACTTGAGGAAAAAATGCCGTTCCTACTCAAAACTTTGCCTTCGTCGTCAATCATACCCAATAAATTCTCAGTTAGTCAACTTTACCCTAATGTTTGAAATTTTTGGCCAATTTCGTCCAATCGGTCCATTTTCCGTCCAAATTAACAAATCTCCGAGGCAACTGAGCTGCCGAGGCTCTATCTGCATCGTATCTTTTAATACTGAAACCCAAAAAAAAAAAAAAAACCAAAAAATTTGTTTAACACTTATCACGTTTCCCATTATCATTAATTAAGAAGAAACAAAAAAGGAATGTCGTTATACAAACTTTTTTGGCATTATTTTCATCTGAACTGGACTGCTCATTATTAGATCACATTGGATAAAAAGAAAATATCTTACTTGAAGATGCCTGTATTTACCTTAATACGGCAGGCCCTCTTTGTCTCTAAATTTCAAAATCTGTCACTCTCAACTTTTTCATAATTGACTGGCTATAATGTAACAGTAGAAAAAATCAACATAAACAGTTGTCATACCCTTTGGCTAAACTTTGAGCTGACAAAACTCTTTTTTGATTTCAAATTTCATTTGAATCACATAACCTATGCAAAGCATCTTCCATGGAGTTCAACAACATGGAAGCTTTTCTTGCTGTTTCAATCCTGATAGTTTCCATCTTCTGGTACTTAACTGTGATATTCAAGAAGAGGGAAAAGACCCTATTGCCACCAGGGCCTTGGGGTCTGCCAATTGTTGGATACTTACCATTCTTAACCCCCAACTTGCATACTCAGTTCACTGAATTGGCTCATCGATATGGTCCGATTTTCAAGCTTAAGCTTGGAAACAAACTCTGTGTCGTACTGAGCTCGTCTTCTCTCGTCAAAGAGGTAACGCGAGACCAAGACGTTACATTTGGAAACCGGGATCCTCCTGCTGCAGCGGAGGCTATTACTTATGGAGGATTCGACATTGCTTGGTGTCCCTACGGCACCTACTGGCGCAACATGCGAAAAGTATTCATCCGGGAGATGCTAAGCGGAAGCAACCTCGATGCGTGCTATGATCTAAGAAAAGATGAGGTGATAAAGGCTATTGAATATGTTGGAATGAGGGTTGGAAAGCCTGTAGAGGTTGGTAATCTGGCATTCTTGACAGAAATGAATGTGGTTTTGAGTATGTTGTGGGGTAAAACACTTGATTCCAGGCAGCAATTAGAAACAGGAACTAGTTTCAGGCAGGTGTTTGGGAAGATGATGGATCTTTTCGCCAAGCCAAATGTATCCGACTTCTATCCTAGCCTTCGCAGGTTTGATATTCAGGGCATTGAGAGAGAAGCCAAGTCTCTTTTACAAACAACTGATGAGATTTTCGATGCAGCGTTTCATAAAAGAATGAAGATGGCAGAGGATGGAATGAAAAGTGATGGAAACAAAAAAGACTTTGTTCAAATCCTGCTTGAGATCAAGAAGTTTGAAGATACTGGGGAAGAGATTAGCCTGACACAGAAAAAAGCCATCTTGCTGGTAATGTTTTATTTTATCATCCTTTCAATTCACACTACTAATGATTTTCTACTTTTCAGTCATCCACATAGTGCTAATACAAAGATGAGCATGATTTGCTTAAGAGAAATTTTTTTGAACAAAAGTACGTGATCTTTAATTTCAACAAACTAACAAAGTCACACATTTAAGCTAGAGGTCTCACTAAAATCTTTCATTCAATTTCAAACTTGCATTCGTGAAAGATTGAAGAGTTTTACTTCCTCTGTCTCGAAATTAATACTCTTGTTTTAGAAACCGGACTAATTATGAGAGCAGCAGACATTTTTACTGACACAATTCTCTTGTCATGCGAGATTAAGGACATTGTGATTGGAGGGACAGACACCACATCCACAATGATCGAATGGGCGATGACAGAAATTGTGCATCACAAGGAAGTCCTTGAAAAGATCCAGAAGGAACTCGACCATGTAATAGGCCCCATCGGAACTGTTGACGAATCTCATCTCCCGGAGCTGCATTATTTGGATGCAGCAGTGAAGGAAACTTTTCGGTTACACCACGCATTACCTTTCCTCGTTCCAAGGCGGCCTAGCAAATCCTGTATCCTAGACGGGTACACTATCCCGAAGGATGCTCGGGTTTTAATTAATGCCTGGGCAATACAGAGAGATCCTGAGTTGTGGGATGATCCCTTGGAGTTCAAGCCTGAAAGGTTTCTGATTGAACCCAAAAAATGGGATTTCAGTGGTAACAATTTCCAGTTCATTCCATTTGGATCAGGAAGAAGAATTTGTCCTGGAATTCCCTTAGCTGAGAAAATGATCAAGTATCTGTTGGCATCCTTCTTGTATTCATTTGATTGGAAACCAACCAAAACCAAAGAGGACGATCTTTCTGAAAAATCTGGAATTGTCATGAGGAAAAGCGATCCGTTATCAGCCATTCCTATCAAGCGGACACGAAATCAATTGGATTAAGTATTAGTTACACAAATTAAGTATCCATCAAGTTGGATTGTGCTTCCATTTGTCTCAATGTTTCACTAGTGCCAAGTTTGGTAACAGATTGCAGGTTTTTAAAGTAATCTATCAGTTCACAATAATTTATATCAAAATGTATACTACTATTTTTCTTTTGTGACAGAGGGAGTACGTGTCTTGGCCGGAAGAATACTCTCTTACTTTGAATGTAATTTTGTTTGGGAATATTATTTGTTTCTATTGCATTGAGGTGGGAAAATCATTATGAATGCGAGATATTGTCTGCAAATTTTTCTATGTCGGGTTTTGAAAGTAAAAGAAAAATGGATATTTTTTCTTATGAATTTAACCAAAATGTACAGTCTTGTTTGGACGTCCACTCATTTTACATTTTAACTTATTTTATCTCTTAAACACAAAACCTAATGGAAAAGAAAACATCATTCAAACAACTTTCTGATTTACATTTTAAATTCCAACTTGAAACACTTTTTGTTAGTGTAATGACCATTTTAGAACTACAAATAGTTCAGTGACAAATTTGGCAGGATTCCGTTGTTGGGTGATTGTTTTTGAAAAATTTCTTTTTTGCAGTGACTTTAATTGACAGTATTTAATTATTTAGTGATGACTCGTACTTGATATTTTCAAAATGTAGTTCAAAATATTTTTTTAAAACCAACATCCAAACAACTTTTTACTCAAAATACCATCCAAACAACATTTTCATTTCCCATTTAGTTTTCAACTTGAAACACTTTCCACTTTTAAGTGGCAAAATGAAATGTAAGATGACGTCCAAACAAGCATAACTAGTATGTCAAATTCATAAGTCAAAAAAAAAAAAATTCCTCTTCGATATAGTATATAGCAGAGACTCTTGTTTTGAAACTAAAAGTTTTGAATCCATCAAAAAATTAAAAAAATTAAAAAAAAAAGAGTTTTGAGAAAAATTTAAAAAAATATACTCCCATATTTAGACAAAATTCAATTCTGGTGGCCAGTACTCTGTAGTAAAGAGTAATCGTTAAAAATGTGAAAATGGGCCAAAACCATGTTTTTTTTTTTTGAGGGAGGGCGGGGGGGAGGGGGGGGTGGGGGTAAGCCAAGAATCCAAAATGTTTTCAAATTGAAAGACAACACAACCCAAACAAGTATCAAATTTTAAAGACCCAAATAGACACTTAAATTAACCATTTGTCGTTTCCATCTCTTCTTTTCGTCTCCTTTCTCACTTTAAAATTTATAATGTAATCTATGTGCTCATCCACGCTCACTTCTCCTTTGCCGCCTCGCTCGATTCTTCTCAAAATCTTATACTAATTTCTTAAGGTTTCCGACCGTTCCCTCCATATATTACCATCTGGGGTATTTTCTGATGTGCATTTTAAGGTAAGGCTTTTTTGATGATGTCAAGGATCCGCGAGTGCCCTAGGGTTACGTCTCCGGTGGATCGATTCTAAAGTTTTCCGGAGTTGGGCATCGTCTATTTATGTGGAATCACTCTATTTATGTGGCCCTTTTGTTCTTAAGGTCTCGGGCAGGAAAGTTTGTATTCCTAAAATCAAACTGATTACTATATATAAGGTCATATATGAATCGGGCTAGTCTTTGAACAAACTTGTCTCTGTTGCCCCGCCCTAGTTTCTCTTAATTTCATATCTGTAGCAGACGACAACATAACTGCTTTTTAAGATCTCTTCCTGTTCATTGAGATATCTTTGTGCCTATTTCTTCAATTGTTGGCCTGATCTAGAAACAAATGCCCCTGCGCTCGAAACCTTACTAAAATTGACAAATCCTGCCCATACAAGCGTTAATTTGTCATTACTCCAAAGCTGGGAAGAGTCAAAATCCCAATGCAGTTGCAGACGCAGTTCAAATGCAGCGCCTGGGTAAGTTTTTGACATTAGAGGGAACGGCCGGGGATGCACTGAGCTATGCGATTGACCCTCTAGCCAAATCGCTTGTCAATTTGACAGAATAACGGATTTGGATATCCAAATTCATTGTTGCAAATGGAGCTGCCTGAACATCATGCTTGAAAAGTCCATCATGTTGCAAGTCCTTAAAATTTCAATGAAAGGTGAGTGTGAGGAACACACTCATCATTTAAGTTGGAGGGATCCCACCGGAGTTCTAAGGTGCTTGTCACCCACTCTGACCAAATTTTCATTCAAGGGATTGGTAGGTCGAGAAGATGAGGTTAAAATGTTAAGGTATGTCCTAAATCAAGGCCGCATTCTGAAAGGTGTTGAACTAGTATTTCGGCCTCCTTCTACTGATTTGGAGCCCAAGTTTCACGTGCTTCAAAAGATATCATTGTTCCCAAGGGGTTCTGATGACTGTGAAGTGAGTTTTACCTGATGGTGAGCGAGGCATACATTTTCTAGGAATTCAATGTTTTGTTTTCTGAATGGCTACGATGACATTACCTGGATAACATTTTCATTCACACACCTGGGTTTCTAGGACCTTTTGATGATCATTGCAATCCGTTCGTTTTACATTAGTAGCAGTTGTGTTTCATTTCAGTTGCTTCTTAGATTTCAATGCTGTGTTTTTTGGATAGCTGAATGATGATCTGAACTTGCACTGATATTAAGTGTGAAGTAAACAGTTTATAATCAACTTAATTGTCGAATTCAACAGAGCATATTAGTGTGGATGAAATTTCCGTTTACTTATATATCCAGGTCACTTTCCCATCAGTGAAGCTAAGCATGAAGAATAATGTCGTCACCTTATTTTTTTGGAGGATTGTTGAAATTTGAGAGAGTTCAGAAACTAGTTTCAGTTTTTTATCTTCCTCGCGTAGTTATAAAATTGTTCTCCCTATATCTCCAAGATAAGAGCCATGTTTGTTGAAATGATACAATCACAAAACTCTTATTTTGGGACTGAGATTAATTCATGAATTCAAAATGGGGGTGGCGAAGACAATGAATGGAAAATGCTGAATGGCATTGTGCCATTTATCATGGAAATCGTTCTAAAGAAACAGACTTGTTTGTTGGAATTATTCTTTACTCTTAGGGACTGAAGATCGCAATAAAACACTTCTCAGCTGCATATTAACCTTCATCGGCTTTTGCTGCCATGTATTTTTGGGGTAGTGTCAAATATCTGCCATTTTTTAATCTCCAACTTGCACATTCAGTTCCATGAACTGGTTCATCGATATGGTCCAATCTTCAAGATTCAGCACGAGACCACGGCTTATCTTTGGTGAGGGGGAACTCCTGCTGCAGCAAAGTTCCAACTTTTCTCCCAAATGACCATTGTTTTCAATTTTTTACCCGAATTCCCGAATGACCATTGGTATTTATTAACTCGGAGCAATCTCTGAATCTCGTATACATTACTAGAACGACGATCGGAGATCAATGTCGGAACAATTGACTTGTGATTTTCTCAAATAAAAAGATGGGAAAAGGAAAGGATGAAAAAGAAGAGAGAGCTAACCTAACTAATCCTCGCTCCATCCCATAATTATTGTCCAGTTTGGATTTTCATTTTTAGTTTAAATTGTACCAAAAAAAAATTTCAAACTGGACAATAATTTTGGGACAGAAGTGGTAAGAAAAGTTAATTATCGGAAAAAAAAAAAAAAAAACAATGGCAGTTAACAGGGTATGTTTGTAAATAAACAGATTAATAGGGCTGGTTTTGTATGTCCAATTGATGCACTTTTCCGATGATTCTTCTTCGTCATTTCTCTCCTCCCACCCCAACCCACCACCCCCTTCCATCGACTCAGGCGCCACTCAGTCTCAGATTCCCTCTCTTCCTCTCCAAAGTTCTCCTGTTTCTTCATTATTTTTTATCCATTAGATTGCAGTATTCTTCAAATTTTCTTTCTCAATTTTAATAATTGAAGCTCCAAAAGCGCCTAATTAACTTCCACTGTCGCTTCGCCGATGCGTCAGTTTGAAATTCTAAGTTCAATATCTAACAACTAATTTAAGTTTTAATAATCTACGCCGGAATCGTAACAGATATCGGCATTTTGATTTGTACATCATTATTTTATTTTTTTTGTGAGTGTTTACAGTCATCCGGCGAACTCTTAGGAGACGGTGTTATGGAGTTGATGGTATCTAAATCCCTGGCTTTTCCAGGTATTTTTATGGAGAATTTCCCCAAATGTACCCTCTTTACTGTCATTTTAGTACTGATATGGATCCCCGGTATCATCTTAGCTCTTTTGGTTTTCTAGACTACTGTGATTATAATGTTGTTTCCTATGATATATGGTACTTGTTGTTTCACTGATTGAATTGCAAGAACATGACACTGTCACATTAGTTAATTTGTGGTAGAATAATGCAACTATTTCTGTACTCATGATGATTTTGCCCTTCATGTTTCAATGCTAGTGTTAATGAGTTGCGACGTTCTGGATTGTTGCTGTTTGTGGTGTTGATATGTACTTTGTGAAAGCAACAAGTTTTGAGCCATATTTCTAAGTATTTATTCCCAGACCGAATAAGGAAATCAGTCTCATGTGCACTCATCCTCTACTTATCTTAATCATTCTTTGATGAGGGTAATAGTAGAAACAACTACAAAAGAGATTATAAATCAAGGAATATGATGCTGATTGATCAAGACAGTAAAAACTTGTTTGATTAATAGTTCTGCAATGATCATACCATTCTTCATTTACTTAACAAACAGAAACTAAACCTTCGTCAAAGAAACTTCCATCTTCGATGTCGTTGCGCATTTCACTTTCTACTCATTTGATCTCGATAACAGTTAATAGGTATCAATAAATTTCCGTCCCTCTAATTTTTGTTAAAATAGTTGATGGTGAATTTTTCCTTTTTTGGTCAAAGTTGGAAATTTGGGTGGTTTATTTGATTTAGTTGGAATGATGCGGCAGGATCTTTATTTGCCTTCTTAGTCGGATAACTTGAAATCTTAGGAATTTTAAGTGTTTAGTCAATTTTGGTGTCTGTTTTACTTTATTCCTATATATTTAGGGTATTAAATAATACAGATTCCAGAAATTTTTCCCATATCATTGGCTACGTTTCCGAAATTCTTAGCCTCTGCTTCGGTTTATTGTGAAGAACCGGAGGAATACAGCAAATCATTCTTACTCTAATTACTACGTATGTAAAGTAGTTGTTCAGTTCGGAATTAAACATATTTGCATTTTTATGATTGAAATTTGCAGTAGAAGACTTGCGATGTATTTATTTCATCACTGGAGTTTTGTTTTGAACTGTAAAATGACCGACTCCCTAATCTTGTTGGCGATCTTATGTTCGATATTATAGAAGTATAGTTGAACATTAGTACACTTTTAGCCTTTTTCATGTATTAATTTGTCCGTGGTGGTGTACTTGACCTTGTTCTCAGGAAGTATAGATCTATATCATGTTTCTTTTTGCCTTTTCTTCATCACAGAGGAACCCTATTGATAGGAACACAAACATTTTGTTGTAAGTCCTTAGTTCTTTTTGTCTTTCTTTTTTGTTTTTTCCATGTAGAGTTTGAAAGATTCAGGAATCATTTTTGTTTCCTATGAAGTTTGTTCCGCAAATGCAAAATTAATGAAATAGTTTCTAGATGTAGAGATTTATAGAGCTCGTATTCATATTTATTTTGTAGTTATGTTTTCGTGCAAATTAGCTTGAACTAACATTATGAAATAAAGAGAATGGAATGTGAACTTTCATATTGTAGTTAGTAGTTCACTAAAATTATGGATAATGAAGAGTTTTTCTTATTAATTTTGGAGACCTTTGCAGATTAGAGGAATTCCAGTTAGGCAATCTTGTAATATGGCGAACTTGATCTAATCTGGTATACCCAATTGGTTTCATGAACTTGTTGTTTGTCAGAGAAACCCAAGTTTGTGATCTCAAGAAAGGTCGATGGATTCAGGTCACCTGGACTTTATTGTTTTGTCAATGGATTAGAGGATGGAGGATATCCTTCATAGGACATTGTCTAAATATTAAAATTTGAGTTTTCCTTCAGAGTTCAGACCATAATCTCCTGTAAATTCTCTACTATTTTTTTTTCGAAGTCTTTATTCGTGGGTTTCTCTGTTTTTAGCCTTAAGATCTAAAATACTCTTATTTTTGTGTGCAATGTTGGGTCATTAGTTCGTTTCTGATATCAACACAACTAGAGGCCACGCGTAGCGTGGGTAGAAGACAACTAGGATAGTAGAGGTGTAAGTAGTTTGCCAAATGTTAATTACTCCAAGCGGTTGATTTAGTATCTACTAGGCGAAATATTCACAATTTTTATTTTTTTTTTGCATATTCACAATTTTCTTAAATGAACAGTTGTCATCTCCTTCTTCTCGTCATCATCCCCTTTCTCCCTTGAAATTACTGTAATCTCTGTGCTCATCCACCTCCACTTCCCCTTGCCGCCTCGCTCGTTTCTTCTCAAGATCTTAATAATTTCTTCAGGGCAGCCACAGTTCTCTCCATTTTTTACTCTGGGTGATTTTTGTTGATGTGCATTTTAAGGCAAGGCTTCTACGATGCCAAGAATCCGGAAGCGCCCGAGGGTTACTTCTCCTGTGGATCGATTCGACAGTTTACCGGAGTTGGCCATTGTCGACATCCTTTCCCGTCTCCCAACAAAAGATGCTGTTAAAACTAGTGTGCTATCCAAACGGTGGAAATGCTTCTGGACTAATGTCCCCACCTTTGATTTTGAGTTGCAGGGCCAAGAAGAGGAAGGTAACAAGAAGATGGCTTTTGTGCATTTTATTAATAATGTGTTTCTTCACAATGTTAGTAAGAACTTGGAAAGGTTTCGACTTTCATGGTGTCCTAATGAATCTGAAGTAGCTTATGTTAACATGTGGGTTCGTCATGCCATAATTCATCGAAATGTTAGGAATCTTTATCTTCATATCAGAACTGGTTTTGTTTGTGACATACCCGCCGAGCTATTCACTGCTGGTACACTGGAATCGCTCTATTTATGTGGCCCGTTTGTTCTTAAGGTCTCGGACAGAGAAGTTTGTCTTCCCAAAATCAAATACATGATTCTTTATAGAGTCAAATATGAATCGAGTGAGTGTTTGAACAAACTTGTCTCCGGTTGTCCCGTGCTTGTTTCTCTTACTTTTGGGTGCTGTGCCGAGGACAACATCGCTGTTTTTAAGATCTCTTCTCTTTCATTGAGAAATCTTTGTGTCCTTTGCTTCAATTGCTGGCCTGCTCTGCAATTAAATGCGCCTGCTCTTCAATTCCTTTTTAAATCGACAAATCCTAATAATATAGTGAGTCTTTATTCTTTTGGTGATGCTGTCAAGGGCCCCAACGATCAGTTTTATATTTCGATAGCCAGGGTGGTTCAAATGCAGCACCAAGCAAAGTTTCTGACGTTAAAGGGCAAAGTGGCGGATTCTCTTCACTTTGCAAATGCCGGCCTAGTCAAATCGGCCCGTCAATTTGACAGATTAACGGTGTTGGGTATCCAACTTCACTGTTGCAAATGGAGTTGCCTGAATGTCATGCTTGAACAGTCAACCATGTTACAAGTGCTTGTCGTTTCAATGGAGGGTGAGTGTGATGCAGACACTCACAAGTTAAGTTGGAGGGATCCCAGCCAAGTTCCTAAGTGCTTGTCTTCCAGTCTCGAGAAATTCTCATTCAAGGGATTGGTAGGCCGAGAAGATGAAGTCGCGATGATCAGGTATATCCTAAAGCACGGCGTAGTCCTGAAAATTGTTGATTTAGTCTCCAGGCCTCCTGCTACGTCGACTAATGATTTGGAGTTCAAGTTTCACATGCTTCGGGAGTTATCAATGTTCCACAGAGGTTCTGATAACTGTGAGTTGAGATTTCGCTGATGGTGAACCAGGCTTATGTTTCTTTTCTTCAGATCGATGTTGTTTTTCAAATGAATAGGATGCCATCACCTGGATAATGTTGTTGTGCACGCGCCTAGGTTTTGTCGTGCTACATGAGTAGTTGTTTTTCATTTCAGTTGCTATTTAGATTTCAACGTTGTATATTTTGGATCAATGGATGATAATTTGAACCCCTTACTGGTGGTGTGAAGAAATAGTTCATCAATTTATTTGTGAAGATCGACAAAGTGTTATAAAGTGTCAATAAAACTTTCATCGGCATATTTGTCGAAATCTCTTAAAGAACAATGTCATTGATATAGTGAAGCAGTGGCCTCATTCAATAAAGTCCGAAACTGCTTTCTTTTTGAAGGTTCATTCTATAGTAGAACCCCTAGGCAGGAGCCTTCGCCATTCAGGCCAGCGCAAGCGATCGACTGGAACTGTTTGGCGCTTACATATTCTGCCTTTCTCGTTCTATGAAACATATACAATTCTGTATTATCTACATCACCATTTTTGGCATGCTGATCCATCACAAACACATAAGAATTTTAAACACTGGCCTTAAAGGATCATGTTCTCCTGATTTCCGTACAATGGAATCAGTTATTCCCTCCGCTTTACAAGATCCTTTCATTTGTCTAGCATCTTATGCTTGACTTCATGACTTGCTCCTTTTAAGAGTGCAAGAGAAATGCTTTGATGACATCTTACTCCATTTCTTCGACATCATAGCCAGGGCTTCTATGAAATACTTACTGTTATTTTTTGTTACAGTAGAAAGAGGCTCAAGCCTTGCAACTACATTCCGGGATATGCCACCCCAATTATATCATGATCAAGCCAGGGCCTAACCCCTACCGTAGGACTATCGAGCCAGTGTGTAAACTAATCCTCAGCTATATCTATTACAGCTTGGGCTTCTATGAGGTTGTTATATTTGGCTACTGCTGAGCAATTCTCTTCAAAATGAACGAACATTACAGTGTGTAAACTAATCCCAATGCAGCATCACTTCACTTTTCACTAGTTTGCATCTTATTTAAAAAAAAAAATTAAAGAAACAAAGGGGAAAAAGAAAGTTTTTCATGTCATCCGCTTGATCGTAGATCTCCAAAGCTCTACGACCCCATCGACGATTTCAATAGTGTGTTAGTAAAATGTTTATCAGACTTTTTTCATGGAGCTTTGTACGGTTTACTTGTGAAGAAAATGTTATTTTATTCGTTGGAATTTCTATCCAACCGCTTAAGTTGATGAGTGAAACTAAAATTTTAAGATATAACCTCTATTCTCAAGAATTTTAAAAAACTTAACCTTGTCAACTTTCTCGTCAACTTAACAAAGTTGACATAAAATTATCATTTTTAACCAGTGAAAAACGAGAAAATTGACCGTTAACTTTTTTAACCATAAATGGATCGAAAGTGAAAAGATTAATATTCTAATTTATGGGAGTATTCAAATTATTTTTCAACTGGATGGAGGAAACTAATATAGACGTCGTACTCATAGTTATTGGTGATAGTAGTAATAGTTTTTCTTTTCTTTTTTTCAAAAAATAAAATAAAATGTAAAAATGGGCCAAAACTATGTGTTTTTGGTAAACCAAAACTCCAAAATGTTTTCAAAATTTAAAGATAAATAAAGAAGACTCGACTTTAAATCCCACTGCCAAACAGACCGTTAAATGGACAAATTCATTTCTTTGTCCCCCTTGAAACTACTGTAACCTCTGTGCTCATCCACCACCACTTCTCCTTGCCGCCTCCCTCGTTTCTTTCTCATAATCACAATTTTTCTTGGGGAAATCTTTCCGTGTTTTACTCTCTGGGGTGTTTGTTGATGTGCATTTTAAGGTAAGGCTTCTTCGATGACGTCGAGGATTACAAATCGTCCTTGGGTTACGTCTCCGGTTGATCGATTCTCCAGTTTGCCGGAGTTGGCTATCGTCGACATCCTTTCCCGTCTCCCAGCAAAAGATGCCGTTAAAACCAGCGTGCTTTCCAAATGGTGGAAATCCTTGTGGACTAACGTCGCCACCTTTGATTTTAAGTTTCTGGGCGGCCCAGAAGAGGAAGGTAACAAGAAGATGATGTTTGTGCAGTTTATTAATAATGTGTTTCTTCATAATGTTGTCAAGAACTTGGAAACGTTTCGACTTGATTCGTCGCCTGATGAATCTGAATTAGCTTACCTTAACATGTGGGTTCGTCACGCCGTCATCCATCGAAATGTTAGGAATCTTGAGCTTAAGATCGGATTTAGTTTTATTTGTGATGTTCCTGCCGAGCTATTCACTTCTGGTACACTGGAATCACTCTATTTTATGTGGCCCTTTTGTTCTTAAGGTCTCAGACAGGGAAGTTTGTCTTCCACAAATCAAACACATGATTCTTTTTAGGGTCAAATATGAATCCGGCGATTCTTTGAACAAAATTGTCTCTGGTTGCCCCGCCCTACTTTCTCTTAATTTCGCATCTGTAGCAGACGACAACATAACTGTTTTCAAGATCTCTTCCTTTTCATTGAGATTTCTTTGTGCCTATTTCTTCAATTGCTGGCCTTCTCTGCAATTAACTGCGCCTGCGCTCGAAACATTATTACGATGTCAATTTCCTACCAACAAAACAATAATTTGTCATTACTCCAAAGCTGGAAAGAGTACATCTCCCTATTTGGTTGCCAAGGCAATTCGAGTGCCCTGCCAGACTAAGTTCTTGACATTAAAGGGATCAGCCGTGGATGCACTTAGCTACGCAATTGATCGCCTAGTCAAATCCTCGTGTCGGTTTGACAGATTAACACACTTGGATATCCAACTTCACTGTTGCAAATGGCGCTGCCTTAGTGTCTTGCTTGAGCGCTAGAACGTGTTACAAGTCCTTCGAATTTCAATGGAGGGTGACTGTGATGAAGAAACTCACAAGTTAAGTTGGAGGGATCCCAGCCAAGTTCCTGGCTGCTTGTCATCTATTCTGGCAAAATTTTCATTCAAGGGGTTGGTAGGCCAAGAAGATGAGGTTGCAATGATAAGGTATATCCTGAAGCATGGTGTAGTCCTGAAAAGCGTCGAACTAGGATCCCGGCCTCCTACTACTTCTGCTACTGATTTGGAGTTCAAGTTTCGCATGCTTCAAAACATATCATTGTTCCACAGAGGTTCTCATGACTGTGAAGTGAGTTTTATCTGATGGGTGAGCCAGGCTTACGTTTGCTAGGAAATCAATGTTTTGTTTTTTTGAATGATTAGGATGTCGTTAACTGGATAACACTTACGTGCGCACACCTGGCTTTCTAGGACCTTTTGATGGTCACTGCAAGCCGTTGATATTACATTAGTAGTAGTTGTGTATCATTTCAGTTGCTTCTTTGATTTCAATGCTCTTTATTCTGGATAGCTGGATGGATGACCTGAACTCCCAGTGATATTAAGTGTGAAAGAAACAGTTTGTAATCAGCTTATTTGTCAAGTTTGACAGACAATATTAGGTGCGAATGAAATTTCCGTTTACTTATTTATCTAGGTCACTTTCCCATCAGTGAACAATTTCGTCAACTTAGTTTGCAGAACTATTGAAATTTGAGAGCTCAGAAGTCTGGTAGAGTAATGTAGAGAAGGAAATTATTTTATGCTTTTCCTCACTTAATTATACTCCCTCTGTCCCCAAGATACGAGCCCTGTTCGTTCAAATGACAAAGCTCCTGTTTTGGGACTGAGATTCATTCAGGAATTCAAGATGTGGAAGCAAAGACAATGAATAAAAATCCTGAATGGCATTGTGCCATTGCTCATCTAAAAAGAAACAAAAAAAAAAGGGGATTGTTCTAAAGAAACAGACTTTGGCAGTATTATGTACTCTTAGGGACTGAAGATCGCATGAGATCATAACACACTTCCCAGCTGCATATTTACCTCAAATGGCAGGCCTCTAATTTGGATTGCTCATGTTTGATTTATATCTAGTAGTGTCAAATATTTGCCATTTTTATGCTCCAACGTGCATATTCAGTTCCGCGAATTGGTTCATTGATATAGTCCAATCGTCAAGATTGAGCTTGGAAACAAACTGTGTGTGTTGTGTACTGAGCTTGCCTACTCTTCTCAAAGAGGATGCGAGACCACGACTTATCTTTGGTAATGGCTGCTGCAGCGGAAGCTCCACCCTACGACACCTCTCCTCCTTCCAAATCTTCCAAGCAGATCCTAGCTTGTAGGGGAATCGGGTTGTCATCAATACTTGTGCGATACATAGAGATCCAGTGCCCTGGAATAATCCATTAGGGGTCAAGCCAGAAAAAGTTTTTTGTGGAACCAAAGAAATAATGTTAGAAGTATTCAATTTATTCCATTTGAATCAGGCAGGAGGGTGCGTTCAGGGATTCGCTAATCTGAGAAAGTGATACTACATATCCAGACTTTCTCATTCTATGGAGCATTTTCTCTGTATTATGTACACTACCATTTTTGGCTTACTGATCTTTGATGGCCATGTATGATTTAAAACATTGGCCTTAACCGATTCTGCCCTGCAGCCTCTCCTTCAGCCCAGCAAATATGCATTTTATTGTGAAATCAGGCTTTCCGCCCTCTTCCTCCGTTGTCTCTACAATTTTTTTCCATCCCAGCATTGTCATTTGATTGCCCTTTGGTATCAATTAAACATCTTCCTTCTCCATCAGCTAGAGTGGATAAGCTATGTTGGCAATCCCAGATTTTTCACCTCCATGCGGTTAACAAGTTTAAAGGTAAGCCTCGTCTTTTCACATATGAACATTTACATATAGGGCGTAATATAGTCCCAATGCAGGATAACATCATACTAGCAGTTTTTTAGTTCGCAGTAACATAAAAATATGGTTTTTGGTTGGTGAAGAGAAAAAGAAATAGTAGTTAGTTTTTGGTTTTCCTCACTTAAAGAGAATAGTTTTATCAAATTTTATGTTTCAGTAATATGAAAATCTGGTGATTGGTTAATTTTTTGCCACGATTATTTAAGAAATCAAGATGATGATTCAAAGACATTGAATTAAACAAAATTTGGAGGGAAAAAAAAAAAAAAAAAAAACCTTGAGTGGGATTTTGACATTACCACTTGTTAAGAAAAAACAAAAAGGAACCGTACGACGTTACAAAAGCTTGTTTGGCATCATTTCCTTCTGGAGTGAAAATTACATCACAATTGAAAATATCACTGTTCTCAGCTACGTGTATTGCTGGGCAATGTCCACAACCGTCTGATTTCTGTATACAATTGTCAAACTACATTATTGTCTTTTATCTCTAAACTTCAAAATCTGTCACTCTCAACCTTTTTCGAATTCATTGAATGGCTATGATGTTGCAGTAGAGAAAAACCACATAAACAGTTGTCACACCCTTTGGCAAAATCCTTGAGCTTCCAAATTAAACTCTTGAGTTTTATATGTATTAATAATCCCTGCAAGCTATGTTACGTTTTTTCATATTGCCATTCCAAACCACTTTCATGAGGTTGAACAACATGGAAGCATTTCTTGCTGTTTCAATCCTCATAATTTCCATCTTCTGGTACTTGGTAGTGATCTTGAAGAAGAATGAGAAGGCCCCATTGCCACCAGGGCCTCGGGGTCTGCCAATTGTTGGATACTTACCATTCTTAACCCCCAACTTGCACACTCAGTTCGCTGAATTTGCTCATCGATATGGTCCGGTTTTCAAGCTTAAGCTTGGAAACAAACTCTGTGTCGTAGTGAGCTCGCCGGCTCTCGTGAAAGAGGTAACGCGAGATCAGGACGTTGTATTTGGTAACCGAGATCCTCCTGCTGCCGCGGAAGCTATTACTTATGGAGGACTCGACATCGCGTGGTCTCCCTACGGCACCTACTGGCGCAACATGCGAAAAGTATTCGTGAGGGAGATGATGAGTGGAAGCAACCTTGATGCTTGTTATGATCTAAGGAAAGGTGAGGTGATAAAGGCTATGCAATATATTGAGATGCGGGTTGGAAAGCCTGTAGAGGTTGGTAATCTGGGCTTCTTGACCGAGATGAATATGGTTTTGAATATGTTGTGGGGTGAGACACTTGAAGCCAGCCAGCTAAGCGAAACAGGAGCTAATTTCAGGGAGTTGTTTGCGAGAATGATTGATCTTTTCGGCAAGCCTAACTTATCTGACTTCTACCCTAGCCTTCGCAGGTTTGATATTCAGGGCATTGAGAGACAAGCCAAGTCTCTTTCACAAACAACTGATGAGATTTTCAATGCAGCGTTTGAGAAAAGAATGAAGATGACAGCGGATGGAATAAAAAGTGATGGAAAGAAAAAAGACTTTGTTCAAATCCTGCTTGAGATCAAGAAGTTTGAAGATACTGGGGAAGAGATTAGCCTGGCACAGAAAAAAGCCATCTTAATGGTAAGTGTTTTGTTTTATCATCCTACCAATTCATACTCTGCTAATATATAGTTTCCGATACACACCAGAATTGTTTACTGATGCAATTCTCTTGTCATTTAAAATGAAGGACATTGTGGTTGGAGGGACAGACACAACGGCCTCAACGCTGGAATGGGCAATGACAGAACTTGTACATCACAGGGAAATCCTTGAAAAGGTCCAGAAGGAACTCGACGACGTAATAGGGATCGACGGAACTGTTGAAGAATCTCATCTCCCAAAACTGCATTATTTGGATGCAGTAGTGAAGGAGACTTTCCGGTTACACCATGCTGTACCATTCCTGGTTCCAAGGCGTACAAGCAAATCCTGTATCCTAGCCGGGTACAGTGTCCCGAAGGATACCCGGGTTTTCATCAATGCCTGGGCGATACAGAGAGATCCTGAGCTGTGGGATGATCCTTTAGAGTTTAAGCCCGAAAGGTTTCTGATGGACCCGAAGAAATGGGATTACGCTGGAAACAATTTCCAGTTCCTCCCATTTGGTTCGGGGAGAAGAGTTTGTCCAGGGATTCTCTTAGCTGAGAAGATGCTCAAGTATCTGTTGGCATCCTTCCTGTATTCATTTGATTGGAAACCAACCAAGCGCAAAGAGGACGATTATGCTGAGATATCTGGAATTGTCATTAGGAAAAGCGATCCATTAGCAGCTATTCCTACCAAGAGGACTCGAAATCAATTACGAGATTAAGTAGTATTCGTTCGGCAGAGAATGCATTACACAAGGGTCGATAGCTACATGGGCGTAATTGTTTATTCTTGTTTTAGTTCAACAAATTAAACTATATTTTTTATATTCCGATGTATAATAATCTACTATAGTCGGTCTTATAATAATCGTCTTTTTAGTTTAAAATAAAACCATGTGATTTCTCTTTCTCTTGTATACTTTTATTTTGGACATATCAAGATACTCTTAGTATTAAAAATCAAGGGCAAAAATGCAGTAGGAAGGGAAATAAAAAATGATGTGGACTTGTGGAGTGGTTGCTTGTACTTGTCCTGGTGGAACCATTGCTTTCTTTGCGTCTCTAGAACACAAAATATTACCCCACATTTTCTGTCGAAGAAAATTGGACCACCGTCAAATCGGAGTGTCCTTCCAAAATCCAAACTCCAAATCTTCCTTATCATATCAAGTTTGTTAACTGGTTGCGGATTTGTGAAATACACTAGTCCAGTGATTTTTTTGAATTGAAGGTATTTCCACAAATGTTTTTATGGAAGAAAAGAAACATACTTGTGTGATCAGAAAATTTTTCTTGGAAACAATTGGTTAGAAATTTAGTGGTAAATAAATTTTGAGATTTAACAATCAGATTTCAATGTTGTTTGAAACGCCCCCCATTCTGATTAGTGATTGCCCAAGTTATCAAGTCCATGAGAATTCATCGTCTTTTTTATAATTTCGCGTGAAATAATATGCATCACCTGTTCTTTAACGTTTCTTCTACCTTTAAACAAAAAAAACACATAATGCCCCATACCACAAAATAATAATAATAATAATAATTCGCATGCTTATTATTGAACTGATGGCGTCTGAATATTTTCTCATTCCTCTAATATCTTCAAGCTCAATTTTAGTCAGAAATATTATTTATTGACGCGTTTTCAGGTTGAATGATTTTATTTGTTCTAAAATTTATCCAACTGGCCAAAATCAAGCAAAATTTCACATTTCAGATGTCAATGTTATGGAGACATTTGATTTTTTTTTATTATGATTATTTTTCTTTCAACCTCGACTAAGGTTAAATCTTTTGAATTTTTTTCCAAACATAATTAAACCTTTTCGGCTTTTTTTTTTTTTTTTTTGCGCGTCTTCCTCCACGACCACACCCATTTCTCTTCCCCTTAAATTTAACAATTGTTCTTCCACCATCACCAACATCACAACTGGAAAAATTGATGTCCAATATGAAATTATACTGAAGTAGTAAATGTGCAGCATACCTTACTCTGTCCTGTTATCCACAAGAATGTGGGGTTGGACAGCAATTTGTAAATTTCAAAGAGTGACAGCATCCTTTTTGTTTTATTAGTTCCATTTTGTCAATCAAAAATAAAACGATAAACAAAAAATGTTTTGTAATGGACGAGGAAAAATGATCATGACCCCAATCATATGAAAAGATCTCTCTGAAGATCGAGAGCTGATCTTTAAATCCAAGCTTAATCTGTCCTATCCTGTCTAATGTAGTAAACAGTCATTCCCCTTTAAGTTAAATAAATGAAAACAATAGCGTTACCTTTATTGATTATACAGAATAAGACAGAGCAATCTTGGACAAAATGTGTGCTTTTCCTACTGCAGTGGAGAAAAATAACTTTTCCATAGTTAAGAATTGTTCATCTTCACATTTCTCACTTTTACATTAATATATTTATTTATTCCGTCTCAACAAGTTAGATTAATTTTCTTTTTAGACTAAGGAACGATTTAACTATATTTTTTTCAGGGGTATAAGAGAAAAATAGGTACTTCTATTAGGCTCTCTCGGGGACGGTCGCGGGTACGATTCTCACCGTAGGGAATTTAGGAGCAATAGGTAGTTATAAAAAAATAAAAAAAAAAACCATGAGATTAAAAGGAACTTCAACAACCGAAAAACTAAGTTCTGTTTGATAAATTAATTTAACACTTAAACTTAATTGATTAAGTACTTAATTGATTAACAATGTTTGATAACACAATCTCATAACAATTTAATTTATTAAGAACTTAACTAATTAAGAACTTAAATTTTAAGTGCGTTTGATAACTCAAATTACGATGTCTTAATAAATTAAGAGAGTTTGAAATACTAATACAAATGTGAGCCTAGAAATAAGTGATATGCATATCGCTTATGTCTAAACTGAATTCAAGAGATAATTTTTTTTTCTTCTATTTATTTACTTTTATGTTTATACTTTTGATGTTTTATCTTGAAATATTTTTATTAATCTTGGTGTTTAGTTACAAATTGAAATTTATTTAAATTATTTTTATTTAATATACATTTATTTTAACATAAAAAAATAAAATACGAATAAAGTCTATAATAAATATATATTTATCATAAAGATGTGATTTTTTTTGACAATGATAAAGATATGATATCATTATTAAATGAAAAAATAATTACACGATAAAATTTGAATATTTTTATATCATAATTTTATAATAATACTATTATTTTTATTATCATAGTTTATATATACATCAATTATTTTTTTAGATGAAATTATAAGTCGTGATACTTTAAATTTCAGTGTTCAGACTTCAGATTTCAGATATTTTATTCAGTTTTTATATTTTGATTTTTATAAAAAAGACAAACTTAATCGGTTCAGTACTTATGATTTAGTCTTCAAATTTCAGACTTCAGACCCAAATTAAGTTTTATCAAACGGGGCCTAATTACAATCCCGTTCTGCCTAAACACGGTAGAGAGATTTTCCCCGACAATCGTGATGAAATTACAAACCTCTTTATGTTTGTAGTGAAGTGAAAATCTAGGAAGATAATGTTTGTCACATCACATAATTGTCTTTATTTCTATAATAGTGTCCGTTTTTTAATCATCACATGTTAGTATGTCATTACTATGTTATTACCTCAAATGTCAAAGATCAATCACTAAAGCACAGAAACTTTCTATACTTTGATTGGCTGTGCTTGAGAGGTTAGTAACAAGTCACTTGAGTAAAGAATCATGCCATTAGCCAAAACTGTAATGAATAATATAAGTATCCCATCACATTATAACTATGTGCTTAAGCAATATTCATCACTCATAATTAAGGTTCAACAAGATGAAAATTAATCTTGATCAAGCAGTTCTTCTTGCCATTCCAATTCTGATACCTTCCATTTTCTGGTGCTTGGCAGTAATTTTCAAGAAAAAGAATAGAAATGCCTTCTTGTTGCCACCAGGACCCTGGGGATTGCCAATTGTTGGATACTTGCCATTCCTAGGCACCAACTTGCACACTAAGTTCACAGAATTGGCTCATCAATATGGTCCAATCTTCAAGCTTCAGCTTGGTACCAAGCTCTATGTTATACTGAGCTCGCCTTCTGTCGTCAGAGAGGTGACGCGAGATCACGACGCCACTTTTGCCAATCGCGATCCTCCTGTTGCCGTGAAAACTGTGACTTATGGAGGAGTGGACATTGTATGGTCTCCCTACGGATCCTACTGGCGCAACATGAGGAAACTATTCGTCCGGGAGATGCTAAGTGGAAGCAACCTTGATGCTTGTTATGATCTCAGAAAAGGTCAGGTGATGAAGGCTGTTGAATATGTTAGCAAGAGGGTTGGAACGCCTGTGGATATTGGTGACCTGAGTTTTCGAACAGCAAAGAATGTGGTCTTGAGTATGTTGTGGGGTGAGACACTTGAAGCAAACCAGCAAATAGAAGTAGGGGCTAATTTCAAGGAGGTGATTGATAAGATCGTAGAAGCAGTATCAAAGCCAAACATATCCGACTTCTTCCCAATCCTTCGCAGGTTTGATATTCAGGGACTTGAGAGAAAAGCCAAGGTTAATACACAAATAGTTGATGAGATTTTCGATAGAGTGATGAATGAAAGAGCGAAGATGTCTGAAGGCGAGAGAAGAAGTGCTGGAAGTAAAAAGGACTTTGTTCAAATCCTCCTTCAGCTCAAGAAGTTGGAAGATGGGAAAGACCTCAGCCTGACTCAGATGAAAGCCATCATGATAGTAATTTCTTCTCTTCCTAGCCATTCATACTTTTCAAAGTTTTCAGCCCAACTGTGTTATATTTGCTGCCTTTTCAAGTTTTGCTAAATCAAGTGCTAATCCTTACCCCATAGATGAGTATAGTTTTGGTAAGAAAAGTCTAAAAGCAGTAATAATATCTGACATAATCTTAATTCCATTCAAGCAGACTAACAGATAGAATTTCAATTCAGTTTCAAACTTTAGGATTATGAAAGTCAGTTCCTTAATGAATCCGTCACATTCTTTTAACAATGTTTTCTTCATAAATGTTATCTGACATAATTCTTTCTCTCGTAAGGACATTGTTATTGGTGGGACAGACACGACAGCTACAATAACCGAATGGGCAATGACAGAGCTTCTGCATCACAGAGAAGTCATGGAAAAGGTCCAGAAGGAACTCAACGAAGTGGTGGGGGTTGGCAAAGTCGTTGAAGAGTCTCATCTGCCAAAACTACACTATCTGGAAGCAGTAGTGAAAGAGGCTATGCGTTTACACCCTCCTTTACCTATACTGATCCCTAGGTGTCCAAGCAAATCATTTGTTATAGGTGGATACACTATCCCAAAGGGTACTACGGTGTTCATTAATGCCTGGGCTATACAAAGAGATCCGGAGCTCTGGGATGATCCGTTAGAGTTCAAGCCAGAAAGGTTTCTGATGGAACCAAAGAAGTGGGATTACAGTGGTAACAGTTCTCAGTTCATTCCATTCGGATCAGGAAGAAGAAGTTGTCCAGGGATTCCTTTAGGTGAGAAAATGTTCATGTACGGTTTGGCTGCCCTCTTGCATTCATTTGATTGGAGACCAACCAAAACCAAAGAGGAGGACCTTACTGAGAAGTTTGGAATGGTCATGGGGAAAAGCACACCACTATTAGCTATCCCTACCAACAGATCACAAAATTATCACTAGTTCATCGTGATTTGTATTGTATTCGCTCTGTCCCATAGTTACCTATGGTTTCTACTAAAATTAATGTTTTTCAGTTGTTGAATTATGTGAGAACGAATATTATGTGAGGATAAACCTCCTTTTTCTTACGTTCCTGCCAATTTTTCATACTTCAGAACATGATTGAAACTCTGAATGAAACAAGCAGCATATTTAAGCTTTAAGTGAGGCTTTAAACTATGAGAGTAGGATTCTTAATGGACAAAAGATGTGAAATTTTCTTACTTATTGTGAGCGATTAGTTGCATTCAGATACTGGACACTACACAGATAACAAATCATAAGAAAAAGTTTTGGAATTTGAAAAAAAAAAAAAAAAGTAAAAGTTTCATGCATGGGATCTTTCAAATGATTGAATGCAAGCTATTGCATTGTTTGTGCACAACATATTAGATGCCCTTCATCATAGCTCCTATCAAGATTCTTCATCCAGCCTCTACAATATTGTTTTATTCGCACAAGATCCCGGGCTAGGGACAAAAGTAAGAGTCTTTAAGCTCTCAGTGTCTATATTCCTGTATTTACACCGTTAAAAAGATCAACTTACAGTTAACCGTTAAGCGGAAGCAGCAGCATTGCAAATGGGCAGATCCTTCTCGGCATTTGGTGGGATATTCAGAATAGGATTACTCTCGAAAAAGTTGACTGGCTTTAGGTCGAAGCTGGAGGACACAGTCGGCATGATTGGAAAGTCTTCTTGGCAAGGCACATGATGGAATCCTAATGTGTACCACAACACTATGTCCTTGTTCTCGATAGGCCGGTTTCTGCAAAGGAAAGTGAGACATTTCCAATTCAATCAATCAGCTACCAAACGAGCTACAATTCATTGTAAGTATTAACTGCAAAACTATGGAAAAATGCAAGAATGTATGCTGAGTTTACCTGTCAGACCATGTAGCAAGAGTATCTTCACCCTTACTTTGGTACACAAACAAACCACCAGCCCATTGCTCGGTCCGATTATATGGAGTAACCCAAATCTGATTGTTGGTAAATGCTCCTCTCCTTTGAGGAGGATCATCTAAATCAAGCAAACTAGCAGCTGTGCCGGCAGGAACCACCTTATACCCGACAGGGTTCCCTACCCTAGTTCTCTTGGACGGGTTGATAACATGAAACTCTGATGGATCATAGAGCTTAAGCTTAATCTGAGCATCTTTCTCTGTCTTTGCTACATTTCTCACGGCCTTCAAGTAGCTCCTCCTCGGTGACACATCAGGCGAGTTATACGCCCTCTGGATGTTCACGTTCACAAAGGAATTATTGGAGCCATCAATATCCATGTCAAGATAGAATGTAATGTAATGATCATGGATCACACCGATAACATTTTCAGATAGGAGAGTTCCAAACAGATTTTCCTGTGCATTCACTTGGTTCAAGTTTACATAAGAAGTCCCCTTCACCATCAGTATACCACTAAGACCAACCTGTGAAAGTAACAACAAATCAACCAAAAAAAAAAAAGTATAAAAATCGCCCAAGATATTTCAGCAGTGGTTGGAAAATCATAGAAGAAAACAGTCTTGGAGTCATTTTCCAGATTTAATTTAAACTATGAAGAAACATCACAAGAGATATATCGTACGGGTAACATCAAAATTTTCAAAATCAAATAAATATAGAAATTGAAATTATATAGCTAACCTTGACTCGGATCAGTCCATCTGTTTGGAACTCCCAATCCACAATGTAATCATAATTTGCCACCGAGGCCGCCATTCTAACCATTAACGTCACCTTCGGCCTAACCTCCCTAATCTGCACAGCAAATTTGATCGGAATAAATCCAACACCGGCGACAACCAATTAGGCCCCATTAAAGGCAAAAATCAAACTCACAGCACAAAAGAATTCAAAGATTTTTGTAGATATGATCAGTCCATTTTCAAACCAAACGAAACAAAACAAAAAAGCTAGAACTATCTTTACCGGCAAACCAGTAATTGGGCTCTCAGAATGACGCCAACCAATATCACCGGCGTAGCTTTCAAACACGCAGACCATGTTGGACCTGACGTACGGCGTTCCGTCAGCCGCCGGAAACACGCCGTCCATATAGTAAGCGTTGCGAGGGCAATCGTTAAGCGGGTCAAGCGGCATTGCCTGGAGGCCGAACCCGTATTCCCCGGCATCCATATACGTCTTGAAGTACCAAGCATCAGTCGGGTCCATGTACGGCACAAACAGCTCCGACGAGAAACCTTTGTACATCACATTCCTCATCGACCCGGTCAACGGGTCCTTCACTTTGACCCGTGAAACGATCACCCCGGCTCTTGCATCCGGCTTCAAGTGAAACTCCCAGTTGGCCCATTTCACCAAATGGTCGTCTTCCACTGTGAAACTCGGGCCTTTGGGTTGCTCGATGGATATCGGGTTTAGTAAGTTTTGGTGTGAATTTTGGGCTGCGAATCGGTAGTCTGTGTTGGCAGCCTTTGGGATTGGTATGTTCTTGCCCTTATCAACAATCTCAACCACTTCTTTAGTATCCAAATCGAGAAGAACCGTAAGACCCTCAATTGGTCTCATGTAGAAATTGGCTGTGTCTTTTGAAGAATAGCATTGCACCTTAATCAACCTTCTCTTTTCCTCTGTTTTGCCTGTAAATAGAAAGATTGAATACTTTTCATTCATTATAACGATACCAAAAATCACAACATTAATGATTATCATTCACACTTGTTATGTTTCATTCAAATAGTAAATACTCTGTTCTTTCCACTTCAATGAACATGACTATTAAATGTAACAGTCTCTTGTTTCTCACCAATCAAAATGGCAAAATATTTTGTTAGTTTCCTAAGAGGCTTTCATGGGCATATCATTTCACGCTCAATAATGATTATCATCAATTGGGACATGGATAAAATTAGGCCATGTCCTTGAAGATATGCCAAAGTTGAAAACTTTTTGACAAACACTAGAACAGACTACAGAGTTACTAAGAAGAAGAACTTTGCGTACCAAACCAGCCTAAGGAAATTGGCAAGCAGGCAAGGTCAGCCAAATCAACTCCACGATCAATAATCGTGCGGTTAAAATCGGCGTTGGACAGGGGAGCCCAGGTGGCGGACGTCATGTCCTCAACAGTCATAGTCGGGTAGCCCGAATGATGCCCCGTTTCCACCACCGCGACAGAGCCGGAATCCAGGTCCACGGTGAGCACGTGGGAATCGCCTTTAGCGCGTGCGACGACGGAAGCCTTTCTGGACGGTAAAGGGTCTCCCTTTTTCCACTTCAAAACCGATTGCTTTTCCGGCTCTTCAAGAGCCACTGTGTGAAGTGCGTACTGTGTGTTCTGGAAGAGCTCATGGGATTGAATGATGGCTTTGACCTTATTGAACTCCGAGATGGTGAGCGGGTCTAGTGGGTGGCGGGGGACGGCGTTGATGTGGCGGCTCCGTTTGGAGGATTCCGTCGGGTGATCGAGAACGAGCTGCTTCTTGGTGGAGTGGAAACGGTTCTTGGAAGAGAAGCACCATGCCGAGTTGGTGGTGCAGCCGCCGGTGTCGGAGGAGGAGGAGAGGTCGGCCGGAGAAGAGGGTGGATAAGGGAGGTTTAAGACGGTGAAAAACAAAAGGATGATGATGCTAATGGGGAAGAATAGTCGGCGAAGGAAGCTGTAGGCTCCTTCCATGTGTTCTGTGTTCGTCCTTCTCCCCTGTTTTTTTGGCTTTTGGCTTTGAGTGAGACTGTGGAGTGAGTTTCTGAGTTAACTGATGACTGAAACTGCGTGAGTTAGAGATATATAAAATCGAGTTTACTGATGTCTTTTTTTACCGTGGTAATTTTCATGACGATCCAATATCAAAATATCACATATCCCAAAAGGTGGTCGAATGATAGCTAAAAAGCATTAGTGTTTCAGCAATTGCCCTGATTAGACAAAGCACCATAAAATCTCAGTTCATTGCCTAGATTGGAGCCTTATATTAAATTGTAGAAACTGACGCTTTTTTTTTCTGTGAAATTGAACATTCGAGTAAATAATTTTTGAAGATGGTCTGACTGTGATACGTCAATTGGTGAACTTACGTGATAGACGCTACTGTTTGATTTGAGTATGATTGATCATCCCTCTTCTTCGTGGTAAGGGAAAAAAAAAATATTAGTACAAGAAGCAAGATACATTCAATAATAACAAACTGTTGTTTATCAAACTAGAGTTTTCTTATATGTACAAAAAGGCAACTTAGTAGTTCTTCCATTGAGAAAGCCAAGTTTTTTTTTAATTAAAAAAAAAAAATCTTAAAAGATGCTCGTTTGCATAGTCTTTTGAAAGTCTTCTAACATTTTCTTGTCAGACTCTGTTGGAATCGCACGATTGTGGAGATCTATGTTTGGAAGGTTTTTTTTATGGTTTTTTTAAATAATTAAATAATAATCCTCCCATCCCAATATATCTTCTTACATTTTTAATGTACCTTTTTATATTCTCAATAAAAAAACAACTAAAAACACACACGAAAAAACGATCCAAACAAATTTGAATCAACTTGAACTTGATCAATGATAGCCGTTATCATTTTTCGTGCATATCATCATTTTGTTTTAATCACTTATTTTTCGTGCTACTTTGGAGGAGGTTGGACAATGAGATCCGCAATAGTATATGGCAGCGTGACAGTGAGATTCACTAAACTATATTTGGATTTTCTACCATTGGATGATGACCTAAATGTTATGTACAGTCCATTTATGATTTTCTTTATTCATAAAACTCCAATTGAAATTTCTTCATTCTCCTTTTAAAAGAAAAAAAAAAGAAAGAAAGAAAGAAGAAAAATTAGAATAAAGAAAGTTGAGTTATGAGGTGGAGCTCCAATTAATATTCCCACTAATTTTTTCACCCTTACATTTGGATTCTTATGGATTTAATGAGGATTCATTTTATCAGACGCAACTCCAAGAAAAACAAATATCTCTTCTTTTCTTTTTTTTTCAGAAACGATTATTTGTGATGCAGGTCACTAAAAATAAATTATTTTTTTTTAAATCGCAGGTAGCCCATCCAAAAGTCTCTTTCACTTCACTTTCAGGTCCAAACTAAGGCTTTGTTTATTAGGTTTTTTATGGTATTTTTAAAATATTTAAATAATAATTGTTTCATCCCAACATATTTTTTTACATTTTCAATACATTTTTTTTATATTTTCAATACAAAAAACACCCAAAAATACACACTAAAAAAACGAAACAAACTTACCACCTTGAATACTTTGCTCACTTTCAGTACTATACACTTGAATCATATCCGCACTTTTTAAGGCTAGTGGGTTGCCGTGGGCTCAGGTGCGTGGAAATGTATGTACCCTGTTTTTGTTTGGTACCATGATTACGTGGGAAGATTCCCCCATCTGTTAGATTCCAAAATGGTTGTGCAGATGCTTTGCTGACATGGTGGTCCAAGATACTCTAATAATAATATCTATCATAAATGCAAATCCGGAGTACGTTTTGATTTTATCAACTTATTCTAAAATGAATCCATTTCCCTGTAAGTCAGTCGGAGTATTAATTGGAATGGATTACAGTCCAAGCGGAGATGTGTAATAAAAAAAAAAAAAAGAGAGAGAGATGGTTTAATAATTAGTTGGTGTTGGAGGCCCAACAGAGAGGTAAATCTTGTTCTAAATTAGGCCTGAACCCCAGGATTGGGTTCCTCTCAAAGAAATTCACAGGTTTCAGATCAAAGCTCGAAACAACTGTTGGCATCACAGGAAAATCCTCCTGGCATGGTATATGATGGAATCCCAGTGTGTACCACAACACAATGTCCTTGTTCTCAATGGGGCGATTCCTAAGTCAAGTTCAATCAGAATTAACAACTAAGAACGATACTTTCTCCGTCTCAAAATAAGAATTTTGTTCTGTTGTTGTATTACCATAATTAATTTAATAAATTAGACTCTCGTAATTCTTTTGGCCAATTGAGAAGGAAAAATGAAAAACAGGACACTCCATTTGCCAACATTTTTGTGAGTGAAAATCTTACCTGTTAGACCAAACAGCAAGAGTGTCTTCCCCATTGCTCTGATACACTAATAGTCCACCAGCCCATTGTTCAGATCTATTATATGGTGTCACCCATATCTGTTCATCATTGAATTCATGTCAAAAACATACTGAAAAACTGACATTTTATATTTTGTTAAATTTAAGGTTAAACTTAAACTCCATGGTCTAGAAGTGCGAACCTGATTATTAGTGAAAGCAGCTCTAAGTTGTGGAGGATCATCAAGATCAAGCAGACTCGCAGCATTTGCTCCCGGGACGACTTTATATCCACTTGGGTTACCCAATCTGGAGCGCTTTGAAGGGTTAATGAAGTGAAACTCTGAGGGATCGTAGAGCTTGAGTTTCAGCCTTGCATCTTCCTCTGTTTTTGCCACATTTCTTTTGGCTTTCAGGATGCTCTTTCGAGGAGATTGTCCCGGAAAACTCCTTTCCTTGACGAGATTGACGTTAACAAATGAATTGTTGGATCCATCAACGTCCATGTCCAAGTGAAACGTGATGAAATGGTCGTGGATTACGCCGATGACGTTTTCTGATACTAACGGGTGAGAAATCTGAGCGTCGGGCGAAACCTGATTGATGTTTTCGTATTGAGTTCCTTCTACCATTAGCATTCCTGATAAGCTCACCTGTTAAGAAGACAACAATGTCATTGTGTTTGAAAGATCAAATCAACAACTTTAATCAATCCAGAAGGCCAAATTGTTGGAAAAAGAAAAGAATATGAAGAGTAGAAGAGATGGTGGTAAGAAAAATGGACCTTAACTCGGATTAGACCATCCATTTGAAATTCCCAGTCTATTATGTAATCGTAGTTTCCAACTGATGCTGCCATTCGAGCTACTAGGTTAATCTTCGGCCTTGATTCTCTGATCTGATTGCAAGTTGGAAGAATAAAAACAAATCAAATTTAATCATTTCTTATCTATCACTAGTAACATGTGCCAATCTAGTACCCACTGAATTATGTATGCATCGACTGTTTGTACGAATTACTCAATCTGTGTCTCAAATAAGAGGTACTGAACTTGAAAGATTTTTTGGGCTCCAAAATATGAACTCATTTTCAAACTTGTTCCATATTACCCATATGCTACATTGGATAAAGATGTGCAACTATTAGAAAATACAAACTTAAAATAGAAAAGAGTTTTATTTCTCCATCTCATTCAAATAATTTAGGTTTTAATACAAAAAAAAAAAATTGTTTTGTATATTTTTAATGAGTCAAATAATTTGTTAGAAAATAATGGTATGTCGTTAATAATCACTATTTTAAATTGGAATATCAATGTCATTTGAGTCATTTCAAAAACTAATGGGGATCAAAATAGATAAAATAGATTATCCCATGCGGTGATAAAAGTTGTGCTTTTCAAGGGGGATTCAGTAGGACAAAGCTGCTTAGCAGAAAAAAAAATAATAATAATAATAATAATAATAATAATAAAAAGAACAAGAAAACTTCATCCAACCTCAAAAGTGTTGACCGGAAATTCAGAATGACGCCAGGCAACGTCTCCAGCATAACTCTCGAAGACACAAATCATGTCCGGCCGAATCAACGGCTTTCCATCAGCAGAAACGAAGACTCCATCCATGAAGTATGAATTCCTCGGACAATCGTTGAGCGGCACCAGAGTCAACGCCATGGCCCCGAGTCCATATTCCCCTGCATCCATGTACGACTTGAAGTACCAGCCTTCACTGAAATCCATATACGGCACGAACAATTCCGACGCAAATCCTTTATACATCACGCTCCTGAACTCCCCTGTTTCCGAATCTTGAACCATTGCTTGAGAAATCACCATCCCAGCTCTCTGATCTGGTTTTAGATGGAATTTCCAGTTTGCCCACGTCACGAAATGTTCGTCTTCTATCCTAAAGCTTGGACCCTTTGGCTGTTCTATGGAGATTGGATTGATTGGCTGCATTTTGGGAGGCGGGTTTTGCGACCCGAATCGGTAATCGGTGTTTTCAGCTTTAGGAACAGGGATTCCTCTTCCGGTGTCGGTGAATTTCGAGACTTTAAGGTTTTCAATGTCGATTGTGATGACGAGTCCTTCGATTGGCCTCATGTAGAAATTGGGAGTGCCTTCAGTATAAAAACATTCAATCTTTATAACACGATGGCCTTCTTCATCTGAACCGAACCATCCAGGAGATGGTGTAAGGCAATTGACATTTTGAAGGTCTAATCCTCTGGCTGAAATCGATTTGTTGAACTCTTCACTTGACGTCAATAGGATTTGCAGAGCAAGAGAAACGTCCTCCATGGTGATCATTGGATATCCCTCTAACCCAGGTTGTTTCACTTCATGATCTGTGACTTGACCCAATTCTAAATCCACTAAAACCACATGAACTTCTCCGTTTAGCATCCCAATTACTAATGCTTTTCTTGTTGGAAACGGGTCGCCGTTTTTCCACCTCAAGACTTGTGATTTCTCTGGTTCATCCAGGGATAAAGAATGGATTGACGGAAAGGTGGATGAAAAGGGTCCATAAGAAGAGAGAATGGACCTGACCCGGTTGATTTCTTGCACAGCTAGGGGGTCTAGCGGGTGTAAAGGATTGGAAATGGCTAAATTTTTGGGTTTGGGAATTGGAGTTTCGATGATTAGGGAGCTCAGCTTTGCTTTTCTGGGAATGGAACTGCACAAAAAATTGGATTCTGAGCATGATAGTGTTCCTGGCTTGGTTGTGATGTACCATGAAGAAGTTGCCAAAAGTGAGAGCGTGAAGATGATGATGATGATGGAAAGTCGGGAACAAGATGGACTTTCCATATTTCCTCACTCTATTAGTTGATCTTTGCTCTTCTGTCTGGTTGTGTTATTTAGGCAGGTAAAAAGAAAAGGGCGGCCAATTTGCTCACAGCCAATCGGCCAAACAGACCGGAAGGAAACAGAAAGTAATGATATTCACTCTACTAATTTAAGTCTACTTAAATGGCAATCTACTTTGCAAATCCATGTCACCTTATAAATTTATCATATTTTGGGTAGTAGATGTTTCATGTTTAGTATTCCCTCCATTCCAAAATAAGTGTCATTCTATACTTTGCACATAGTTTAAGAAACTCTTAAATAGGGTAATAAAATTACTTGAATATCCTCAACCAATCCCATTATAAAATTGTCCACCAATAGCATCAACTCTTTTGAGGGTAATTTTAAAAACTTCTGACAAAAAAGTGCATTGAAATTTGAGAACGACACTTATTTTGAAATTTCTCTATTTTGCTAAAACATCGCTTATTTTGGAACGGAGGAAGTACTTATTTGACTTCTTTCGGAGCAAACAGGACCACAAAGAGACATGTTCTTTAAGCTACCTTAAAATGGGCAAAAACAAGAAAAGGGCGAATTTGCCACTGAATTTGATTGATTGCGGAGAAAAATACAATAATGAATGTTTTCGCCTGCCCACCCCATCCGTGCATTAACTTGGGTTAATAATAAAATAAAAATTCAAAAAAATTTAAAAAATTCATTAAATATCAAAAATAAAATAAAAAATTTGGAAAAATTTCAAGAATTTTTTTTACTTTTAATCTTTTGATATCTTTTGAATTTGAAACTAAATATATATTAACTGAAATCGGTGATTTTTGGGACGAAAAATTAAAAATTTTCTTATATTACGAGTGAAATTTTCTTATAAATCTACAAATGTGACTGTAATTTATCAAAGCCGTTAAATCAAATTTACTTAACTTAATCTCCACCGTTAAAGCTTATGACTTTATATTTTTGATAACTAAACCTAAAATCATTCTAGTATAAGGGCATGGAAATATTGATTTTTGAGTTGACACCTCATCTTCCTGCTTTAATTAAATAAAAAATAATAATAATACACACTATAAATGATTATTTATAACATTGACGGTAAGTAATGAATATCTTATCAGATGATTTTATATTTAATGATCCCCGAATTCTCAAGATTTTAAGTGAGGTTTTGGGGTTTTTTTCTAGAAAAATAAAATTCTATGTCTACAAGCCTACAACTATGGAGTAATAGAGTTTTAACTTAAAACTTTTAAGTTTCATTCAAGCTTACCTTATCAGATGAATTTATATTTTATGATTATTTGGTTACCAAATGGAGGTGATATTCTACGGTGTCATTTGCCGAGTTTTCAAGATTTTAACTCATTGGCAGAATACCAAAAACAGAAATGTCAAAGTTCCAGATTCACTTGACCATTTAAGAGTGTTTTTTCTTCTTTTTTTTGTTGGGTAGTGAAATAACCATTTAGACTATTTTGTAGATGTTCATTCTTTTTTTTTTTAGGTAAACTGTGAATTTGTATTACTTTCCACCAAAATATTCACATATTTACAGCCTGCACATGTTGCTAACTAATACAGAGCTTCATGGCACAGTACATCAAAATCAAAATCATTTACGGCTAGCTATTACAGTGTTATCATCAAAACATTGCCTATTTAAACTTTGCAAAAACGCCACATCACTTGTCTTCTTCACATTGCAGCAGAGTTACACACGCCATCTGATTTCCCTCCTTACTTCTTCAAAAAGCACTTCCAGTGATTTATGTGTTCCTTCATGCAGCATTTGATTCCTGGCTTTCCATATACGGTAGTACTCAGCTTCAATAACAGCATACACTACTTTCTGTTTCAGCTTACTGCTCCTTATGTAATGTAGTTTTTGCCAATTCCTAGCACTTAACCAGACTGCTGGGAACTGTATCCAATCCCTGAGTTTCTGCGATAGATCTCTAGCAAAACTACATTTGCACAAAAATATGTTCTGCACTCTCATCATTGATTCTGCACAGTAAACAAGTCATGTCATCAATTGCTATCCCAATCTTCATAATCATGTCCTTAGTTAGGAGTCATCCTAACTAACAAAGCCATGTAATAAAGCAGTGTTTAGGCACACTGACTTTATTCCATACAAAGGTTGTTACTCTATGCTGGGGGACTTCTCTTTTAGCCATTTCAGACCTGAAGCTATAGTATTTACCATTTTTTTGTGACATCCATCTATTCTATTGAAATCCATCCTTAAGTTTGTCTCTGATCATTAGTAGTTTCTTCCAATGTCAGCTGGCCTCACTCTTCACAACAACATCCCAGAACTCAACTCTGTGTAGATACACCCCATGCATCTACCTTATCCATAAATTATCTTTTTTTTCAGTGTTAATTCCCACACTTGTTTAGCTGCTGCAGCCATATTCCATACACTAATATCCCTAGTACCCAGACCACCCTCCTTCTTAGATTAGACATGCTTTTTGCCACGACAAACGAAGGAATGACCTCCCAGGATCTTTCTTACCCCACAGAAATTCTCTGCATAGCCTTTCAATTTGCAATATGACACTTTTGGGATTGAGATACACTAGTGCCCAATACGTTTGCATATGCAACAGAACAGAGTTTATTAGTTGGGCCCTCCCCATGTATGATAAGTATCTAGATGCCCAGCTTTTCAATCTGATAGTCATTTTATCCACCAAGCCCTGACAGTCAGCCTGAGTCCAAGCATTGGGTGATAAGGGGAAACCTAAGTATTTCATCGGAAATTTCCCCCTTTTCAAACCCTACTATTTGTTCTAATTTCTTCCTTTTTTTTTTCTCCGAAACTCCCCCAACATATATTTGGGATTTACCCATATTAGCAACAAGGTCTGTGATTTTTTTCAAATTCTCCTAGTTTTCTCGTCACAGTTTGGACTATATTTTCCTCAACCTTACATCAATTATCAGATCATCAGCAAAACACAGGTTTATAAGCTGCTGAGTTTCACATTGCGGATGAAACTGAATGGTTCTCTGTGATAGTTCCTCTTTATACATCCTAGTGAGGTACTCCATCACCAAACCAAAAAGTAATGGTGAGATCGGTCCCCCTGCCTTATGTCTCTTTTTCCTTGGAAATATTCGACTAGGTTGCCATTCAAATTCAAGTGGTAACACACTGCATAGTCCAATCTATGAATTTTATTGGAAAACTAAATCCTATCATCATTTTAATTATAAAGTCCCAGTTTATAGTATTATAGGCCTTTTTGAGGTCTACTTTTAGTAAGCACCTAGGGTTTCTTTCTATACAACCTCACTAGTTTCTGGGTAATAAGTACATTATGCATGAAAGCTCTACTTTTTACAAAAGGCCCCTGGTTCTGATTGTCTATTACAGGTAACACACTACTCATTCTTTCACTCATAATTTTAGTAATGCACTTATATAGAGTGTTACAGTAAGAAATAGGTCTAAATTCTTTAATATTTTTTTGTGATTAACATTTGAAAATAAGTGAGATTAAGGTGCTGTTTATTTGGGTTAGGATCTTCTTGATTTCTCCAAATTCCTGCACCGCTGCTATGATGTTTGCTCCAATTATCTCCCAGCAAGCTCGAAAGAACCGGCTCCCAAAATTGTCAGGGCTAGGGCTTTTACAGGAGTGGATCCCAAATATGGTGTAGATGTTCATTCTTTACTTGAGCCCAATTATACAATGGATGGTTATGTATAGTTTTTGATAGGTTGAGTCTTGTGTATGAAACTCCTTGGAAGCTCATGGAATCAAATGTAATCAATTGAAAGAGATTGATTCATTAACAAAATTAGCACCGATTACCATGCCATAACGTTGCAAATTTGAATGTATTTAATGATTGATACAAATGGAATTTACTTAATTTAGTTCCGAGAATTTGAGGGTCATCTTCCTACTGCCTTCATATAAAAGTACAAGGTAAATCTCATTTAACTCTCTGTTTAATAGTTAATACTATTCAAGATAGTACGTATAAAATTAATATTTCATACCAATATGGTAATTGGTAATTTCTCATTTTTTGGGTTAATAATTGGTAGTAAAGTTTTTTTTTCCAAATAAGTACAGTAAAACTTCCATAAATTAATTATCTATTAATTAATATCCTCTATAAAATAATATTTTTCTTCGGTCCTAACTCGGGGACCAATACAAAAAATAAAAAAAACTCTATTAATTTATATGATAATAATTTTTCAAGAACCTCTTATGTAAATATAAGTTCCCACAATTTCATAAATTAATAAATACCTAAAATAATAAATTAGGTTCGAAGATTAACTTAGATTTTAACTTAAAGATTCTTGTTTATGTTTGCAATTTATCATGTTTTGGTTTCATTAAAAAAATTTTAATGTTATGGTTAGTGCTGCAACAAACTTTTCTTGATGTAAAAATAATAATAATTTATTTTTTCTCACTTATAGTATTAAAAAAACTCTTTAAATTAATAAAATATTAATTTATCGATAAACTAATAAATAACTCTATAAATTAATAAATTTTTGGAGACCCAAGTGTATTAATTTATAGAGGTTTTACTGTAATAGTAATTTTTTTCAGTAAATTTTCAGTAATTACTGTAGTAGCAATTTTTTCAGTAATTACTGTAGTAGTAATTTTTTTCAGTAACTGATGATGATATTGAAAGGTGATAAGCATAATTTCTATAAAGTCCTCCGTAACTGCCTAGATTTCGTGAAAATTAAAGTAAAAACAATATTACCTTTTAGCCTCTCACCATTATAGCCGGTTTTTTCTCTGCTCTTCTTATACCCAAAACCCAACTTCCCACCTTCATTAGAACTCTTCCTTCTCCAACAGTCCAACTGACCATCGATACCCAATATCTTCAAACTGGGGTGGATTTTACAGAATCTCACTCTCGGATCATGCTTGGTATTCCAACCTGTATCATCTCCTTTTTTTTTTTTTTTGAAATTTTGATATTTGTTTGACCAAAATTCCTACAGAAAATTGTGTTTATCTTGGGAAAGACCGAAAGAGACATAATTTTTGGGCGGAATTGGGTTTGGAGTAATTGGAAAAAATCATGACCCAATTGAAGCCTATACTGTCGCACCTCGACTCCATACCCTCCACTCCGGGGAAGTTCAAATCGGAAAAAGTGTCTCCCTTCAACACCACTTTCAATCGTTTCCGACTGGTTCCCAGGTTCACTCTGTGGTCCCTTGTTTCCCTTCTGGCCGTCCTTTTTTTTCTCTTCTTTCCTTCTCCGGCGAACAATGCGGCTCCCGACTCCCCGGCCATCAGAATCAAGCGGCGAAATCTCCAAAACTCTGTTTCTCTGGTGGGTTCGAAATGGGAGAATCGGGTCTTGGCCTCCGGCCGTCCTTCTGCGAAGGAAGGATTCTCAGTTTTAGTCACCGGCGCCGTCGGTTTCGTCGGAACCCATGTCTCCGTTGCCCTGAAAAAGCGTGGAGACGGGGTCGTTGGCCTGGATAACTTCAATAGTTACTATGACACCGGACTAAAGAAGGCCAGAAATGCCCTCCTCGAGAAATCCGGCATCTTTGTTGTGGAAGGCGATATAAACGACGCCGCATTGCTCGAGAAGCTTTTCGACCTGGTGAAGTTCACTCACGTGATGCATTTGGCAGCCCAAGCTGGAGTACGGTATGCTATGAAAAACCCCCTGTCGTATATTCATTCTAATGTGGATGGGTTTGTAAATTTGCTTGAAATCTGTAAATCATCGAATCCGCAGCCAATTGTTGTCTGGGCTTCTTCTAGTTCTGTGTATGGATTGAATTCTAAGGTACCCTTTTCAGAGAAAGATCGAACTGATCGTCCTGCAAGTTTGTATGCTGCCACGAAAAAGGCTGGTGAAGAAATTGCTCATTCATATAATCATATCTATGGACTTTCCATTACCGGGTTGCGATTTTTCACTGTGTATGGACCGTGGGGAAGGCCTGATATGGCTTATTATTTCTTTACTAAAGATATTTTAAAGGGGAAGGAAATTAAGATTTATGAGGAAGTTGATCATGTCACTGTGGCTAGAGATTTTACCTACATTGATGATGTAGTAAAGGGCTGTTTAGCTGCACTAGATACTGCACAGAAGAGTACAGGAAGTGGTGGAAGGAAGAAAGGAGCTGCTCAATTGAGGATATATAATTTGGGAAATACTACTCCAGTTCCGATTGGGAGGCTTGTGAGCATACTCGAGAAGTTGTTGAAGACGAAGGCCAAGAAGAAGGTTTTACCAATGCCTAGAAATGGAGACGTTCCTTTCACTCATGCTAACATCACTTTGGCTCGGGAAGAGCTTGGTTATAAACCTTCAACGGATTTGGAAGCAGGGCTGAAGAAGTTTGTGAAGTGGTATGTTGGTTATCATGGATCCAAAAAGAAGAGTTCTTGGTGATGATCCGCGAACCATATCAGTTATTAATTTTCTTAATTTTTTTTTTTTTTTGGCATGGTTTAGTTTATGAATTATGAGTAGTATAGTTTTTGGATTGAACACCCTGTTCAGGATGATGATTATTAATTAGTGCCAGTAGCTGCATTGTGAAATGAAGTTGGCGGACTTTTGAATCATTGTCCTGTTTTTGGATGCATTGGCATTCTTGCCTTCTTGGTCTATAGTTCTTCCACTTGAATCTTCTTATTGTACATTGCTTGGCTTGACTAATGGTATTTGAGAAGCATCTTATTAGTTTCAATTTCACTGTTCTAAGTTTCCACCTTGGATTTGGTATATAATAATAGATTTTTTGAATTACTCAGTGCATAGATAATCAGATATCAATTTGGGCCATTCTTATCTCTGCAAATCAGAACTTCACAGGCTGTGAAAGGTGAGATGTTTCTTTTTTGTCCTGTAACTGTTAATAGACTGCACTCTTTGGATTAAGAAAACTACCATTCTATATGCATTGTAGACAACGTTGAAAAGTAGTTGTATATGTGGGAAATGCAGGTGTCTGCCTGTAAACAACTCACTCCAATTTAGGATTCGTTGCAATGCATTTTTTAGTTTCTCTACGTGTTAGGTTTGTCATTACATGTGTAATGAAGTTGAGGAAGCAAAATGTCATTTTCCTTGGGTGGGTTTATTCTTTTTTCTCTTATCCTTTGTTGATGAATTTGACAAAAAAATAAATTAAGCCCGCACGTTGGTTTTTTGGCCCTTGGATTTTGCTGTCAATCATAAAATTTTAAATAGGGATGATCAAATCGTGTTTTATTATTATTGTAGTTGATCTCTCGTGGTCGATAACATTATCTTAATCATAATCATATCGATTTCTCAAATCAAATTCAGCTGTCACACATGACATTTCTCCTCCATTCCAATGAAGATGATGACCCCCGTTTTTGTTGATATCCTAGGATCCTATGGAAAAACACACTACGGTGCCATCATCAATGCTGTTGTATGATTTCCAATGAAATATGCACTACGTGTTCTACAAAGTCCTTTTGTATGATTTCCAATGAAATATATGTACTACGTGTCCTATAATTCTGGAAATTTTTTCCCCTTGTTTCCATGGTAACTCCTACCCTTTGAACATCATGACGTAGAAAGCTTATGTCACATAGCAAAGAAAACATTTTTTTTTTTGGTTATGGCTCAAACATTGATTTCTTTTTCGTACTAGAAAACATTGTTTAGTGCCTCAAATAATGGCTTTAGGATGTCTAAAAATCAGATCCTGATATCATATCATAACCGAATAAATCTAGTAGCAACAGTGTGGTATCATGTTGCGGATTTAAATGCAGAACTCATGGACTCTTTTTAAAATACTACCTCGCTTATGATCCCAACTTGCTTGACACTAAGTCAAAAAAGAACGATTCAAACGTAAGGACATATCGACGATGTAAAGATGGCCTTCTTATTGGTTCACTTATAAGTTATTGCTGAAATTGATAAGTTGGGTGTTTGACGAGACGGTAAATATTTTGGAAGTTGTGGGGATGAAGGGAAGCTTGGTCAAGGCCAATTCAGGATCTTAGATTTAGTGTTTATAAAAAAAAAAAAGAAAAAAGAAAAAAAGAAAATATTTAACTTCCTAGTCTGTGGTCTTCATTGATAAAATGAACCTCCTTATAAGCTCAAGTTGTGGTAGCACACGACACACAGAACTGCAAAGATGTAAATATTTAATCAGGAAGATTTGGGGAATACTGTCACTTGAAACAACATCAATTTTATCAAACTATTCAACATATGCGTACCTCAACATAGCAAAGAAAGGGTTTATCATGGTTCACTTTGGTTGCACTGGCTTGTACTTGATCATTGCGCAAGAAAAGCATGATCCTTTAAGTGGACTTAAGACCACACATTAAACTCCATTACAATATAGTTAAATAGCACAAACTGTTGTCGCCCTACATACTGAATTCTAGGCAATCATATGTTCCAAGCAGTAAGGAAGGATCAAGAATTACAACATAAACTTCAGTGACATCCATGATCCCTGTCAGTTATTGATCTCTTTCTGAGTTACAGTAAGATGAGCAGAGAGCTTCTAGGTCAAGAAATTTTCTTGACAATACAGTGAACTTATGTTAGTGGACTCCTCTTTCCTAAGGGTCATATACAGCGTTGTCTCACTGAAAACTATCATCTCTCCGACTGCGAGAAGCTGTTTACACCTCTCGTCGCAGGTTGCAGTTTCCACCAAGGATTAGGATTTTCCTGCTGCACAGAACTATCTTCATCGCCTGAGAAAAACTCTTCCAGATCAGAGTCCTCACTTTCAAAATCTGAATAGCACAGTTCTTTCTCCGTTGCAGGGTCATATGTCCATTCTAATCTTTTCAAAATATCCTTGTCCTTCCATCGCTCAACAACTGATCCAGCTTCTGCTTTAGCTTTTCCCTTCATTATCTCCTGCCATGAAAAAGAAGCATCAGCAGTTCTTTTGAGCGCCCCATCATTGATGTCACCCACAACAACTGTCTTCAAACACCTCAATTTAGCCTCCTTCAAAACTTCGATGAAGTCTGAATCATCGGATACAAGAACGATACAATCAACTAGTTTCTTATCCATCAAATCCACCATATGATTCCTCAATGCAACATCTGCTGCCTGAGGCTTATCGGATACAGTCCTAACCCAATATCCTGCCCTTTTCAACTCACCAGCCAAACCATAACCAATTTTTGGAGTCAAAACATCCCTAGCAGCATTTCTATACTTTTCCATCTTCATAGAATACTGAGCAACCAAGTTCAACCTCTTTTTTCCCCTGGCAGACTCAATCCTGTTCAACCTTTTCCTCTGTTCACTCTCGTGAATTTGCTTGAAATGATTAATAAGCCTCTCATTTGTATGAAACTTTCTACCACAAACTCTACATTTATAAGGCACACTTGGCTTAACAATACCTTTTCTTTCCAATCGATTCAATTCTTTCCTCTCTTTCCTCTGAGCCATCACTTCAGGCGGCACATAACTAAAAGCATGCCTATTAGCATAAGCTATCATATACCTAACGAAACCAAATTCAGCCACGGCGTTCTTAAGCCTAACTGCAGCATCATAAGGAGGAAATGACTTGGGAGGTTTATTATCCAAATCCCAGAAAATCCCAACAGTCTTAGAGACCTTTTTTGTTGGAAGGGATGGTAAACTAGAAATGTTTGAATTAAAATCCGAATGAGCTTCAAAATGGCAATATCTAAAAAACCCAACTATAGGACTTAAATCATTCAGCACAATATTCGATTCGATAGCAGAGATAAAGTTCCGAACTTTGATTAAGTTCACCATATCCGAAGTATAACTCACAATTCTATGCAAAAAATTCGATCAAAAAAAATTACCTCAGTGGCATGAAATTGAAGATAAAAGACGAAAGAGACAGAAAGCTTCAGCTTTTCTCCCTGCTAAAGAATCATGGCAGCCACCAATTAATTTCATTGGGTGAGTTTAATTAAAAAGCCCTTTTCACAGGAATAGGATTTAGGACTTGTAGTTGAAGAAGAAGGGTTGGACGGACCTATTGGTTTTGGTGGTCATAGGAAATTCTTCCTTGTTCTTTGATCGACTGCTATTTTGTGGGTTTAACATTAAAAAACTCGTGGCCCACTCCCACGTGGCATGTGGTTTCTATTGAAATTCACCTTCATCATCACCTCGACAAATTCTTTTTCTCCTCACCTAAATCCTTACAGCTTCTCCTTCATGTTATGTGCTTGTGTATATTTTCCTCTTTTTTTTTTTTAACCATCCCAAATCATCATAAAAAAGAAAAGAGCAACTTTTTTAACCTCAACAGTGTTGATACCCAAAAAGAAAAGAAAAAAAAAGTAGACCAATTGGAATCAATCATAGACGGAGATGCGAATACTAATAAATATAGATAGTAGTAGTTGTGGTGATGGGTTTGGGTTGCAATAGCAGCAGAAAGCGTCTGAATCAGCAATGAAAGGCGGCTTTTCGGCGCCCGGTGATTACATCTACTTCAAGTCTCAGGTCCCTCTTCACAAGATCCCCGTATGTTCTTCCTTCTCTTCTATTCTGTTATCTCTTCAAGATTTAATCTTTTTGCCCCCCACTGTTATCTTAATTTCTGAATTTTAGTTGTGGGTTCCCCTGTTGACCTGTTAATTCTCTGTCATTCAAGTGAATTTTGGAGTTCTGTATCCTCGTTTTAGCTCTGAGTTTCTGTGATCATTGAATGTGGACTCTTTTCCCCCTTTTCCCTTTCAGTTATTGTTTTCTCGAAGCCGGCATCTTGCTTCTATCCTTTGTACTATGCTGCTCTGTTTTCGGGTTTTTGATGTATTGTTCTGGTTCTGGTTAGTTCGTATATGGACTTCTGGCCTGCTTGATGGAATGTTAAGGTTGTGCTTTCTTGTTCTTGGTCACACTTGGGGAATTTCATAGGAATCCGAGACATCAAGTCATATATAAACCTTTGGATCGCACTTAACATTGCCTTGATCCGAATGTTATACCTTATCTTCTTTTGAGTGATGCAGAGTTAATAAAGCCCTAGAGGCCCGAGGAAAAAGGAGCACGAGTCTTTGATTTAACTAAGTGCAGTATGCACAAAAAAGAAGATCCCACAACAACCAGTTTATGCTGCTAGAATTCTTGAACAGCTTTCGTTGCTCAAATAAAAATTTATGATCTGCTATTGCTGGTTGAACGTAGTAATCAGTATTCACCAAAGGATTTACATAATTTGTTATCACGAAAGGATTGATTTTATATGAACATTGACAGTAGCATCTCTCTGTAATTGTACTGGCCACTATGTATGCGCTTACCTCTAATGCATATCTAATGATACGCTAAATGTCTTATCGTAGATTGGCTCAAAGCATTGGAGATATTATGACTTTGGTCCGAAAGTGGTGCCTCCTCTTATTTGCCTTCCTAGCATAGCTGGAACTGCAGATGTTTACTACAAACAGATTATGTCTTTGTCAATGAAGGTACTTTTTTGTTGTACATGCCTCATTACTCAGATAGATACATGTTTCTGAAAGATCACTGTAAAGCCATTTGCCATGCTATAACCGTAGCTCTCACTTCCATTATATCATGGATGAGAATGGATCTATGCCAGACAAATTCGTCTAACTGATGTTTACTCTGTCTTATTTCTCTTTTAAACGATCCATGAAGTCTCAAAATTTACCTTGTACACACATTTTATTGCCAAACCATAGAAGCACCTGGAATGACATTGATGAAGTAGATACTAGATTTATTTCTTGTAAATGTTGCTAGAAACTGATTTGTAAAACTTTGTCAACTTTCAGGGTTATCGAGTAATTTCAGTTGATATTCCACGTGTATGGAATCATCACGAATGGATCCAAGCTTTCGAAAAGTTTCTGGATGCTATTGATGTTCATCATGTAAGATTGTCATTCATCCTTATCCAAAAGTTCTGTTATTTGTGTTTTCTTGGCATTGTTAAAAGAAAGTGACCAACTTCTTTAATGCCTTTGTCACTGCTATACTACCAAGTTTCCAAGTACTTTATTATTATTTAGAAAGTTAGTTTATCAGCTTGTGAAGTATTTGAGAAAAGTTCAGTTGTCTTTGAGCTTTTCCTTTTGAAGGGTGTGATCTATTCTGCTCACTGATAAATGTTGGGTTAAACAGGTTCATCTTTATGGCACTTCACTTGGTGGTTTCTTAGCTCAACTTTTTGCTCAGCATCGGCCTCGTCGAGTTCGGTCATTAGTTCTCTCAAATACATACTTGGAGACTAGTAGTTTTAAAGCAGCCATGCCCTGGGCACCCATGTATGTTTAGCTAAACTTAGTTACGCTAGTTGATGTAGTATAACTCTCAAGTAAGAAGCAACTATTTGAAATGGCACGGAACTTTTTCTAGGGTGTATTTGAGAGTATCTTTTTTCATCTCCTTTTTGACTGGTCTTCTATTTTTGGCAGCTTAGATGATCCATTTTCCCTGCTTTGAGTCAGTTCTGATAATGAGACTATTTGTAATCAATTAGATTTGGTTAAGTGGAATATAATCTACACTTACTGTATTTATTTGGGCATCTGAGAGTCAGAATTGAGAGAACATCAGCTTTTGCAGCTGACCTATAATAGGGCTGAACTGGCATAGACTTAAAATATATTCTTTTGTTGATAAGGATAATGGAAATTACTGTCATAATTTGTTACCACTGTTTCCACTGTGTTGCAAATGCTTGCAGGTCATCATTTCTTGAAATCTTGTTATTACCGGCTAAGTGATTCCTTGCATATGGTCACAGTGCCTAATTCCTGTTTCTTCTTATTTGTTCTCTTGCACCATAGCCTTTTGAGCTTTAATGTGTCAGCTGCAACTCTTGTGCTTTTGTATTATAATTTGCAGCGTTTCTTATCGGCAATCACCTGTAGCTTACACCCTGACTAAATTTTCCTTTGAACTTACCATTTGATAGTGTTGCCTGGACACCTTCTTTTCTTTTGAAACGGTATGTCCTAACGGGAATCCGCGATGGTCCACACGAACCCTTTATTGCCGACTCTGTGGATTTTGTAGTCTCCCAGGTAAAGCTGTCACTATTGTGCTATGTTTTTTGCTTACTTGTAAGCATCATATTGCAGTGTTATTATCATTATTCTTCAAAACACTAGTTGTACCTTGGGTCACAACGAAAACAGCCTCTTTGTATAATTACAAGGGTAAGGCTGCGTACAACTGACCCCCCAGACCCCAATTTTGTTGGGAATACACTGGGTATGTTGATGTTAATGTTGACTAGTTGTATTCCAGAACTTGAGGAATTATATGTACTTGCTTTTGCCACTTTATGCAAAAAAACCAGAGTTCTCTTTGTTTTAAATTTCATATTATTTGAATTAAATCCTAAGCAACAGTGTACATCTTATAGGTTGAAACACTCTCAAAAGATGACCTAGCTTCAAGGTTGACGTTGACAGTTGATGCTGCTTCTGTGGAAAATCTTATGCTTCCAGATTCGTCTGTTACCATAATGGATGTAAGTTCGGAACATTTGAATATTGCAATCTGTTAGTCATCCTCTATAATGATATAGGTTGCTAGTTTCTTTCAGTTCCTCCACTAGAAAGGATGGGACAAACAGATTGCTGATTTGAGTGGAAACAATCCCCTAATGCTAATGTCACCTATCCAAAAATTACTATTTTTGACTTCTGATGTACCCAGCCAATTCAATTGCATTCGCTGCTAGCTCTTTTCTATGAGAGGGAATTATTTTTACAACTGGTTGAATCTGTTATATTCAAAAAAATAACATTTTTTGAGATTAACATTTTATTGCTGCCAATCACCATTGTAATTAAGAACACTCACTCTGAGGTTATGTGTTTTCTGAAGTCGCTACGCGTTAATAGATTGATCAGAAAATTTGGAAATCAAAGAGACATCTGACATTTCTTTTTCGCCTTCTTGCATAATTAATGCTGCCTGAAGACAAGTGATTACTGTGCGATATCTCAGCAGCTTAAAGACCAAGTGAGTGAAAGGTATCCTGGTGCCCGAAGAGCTTACTTGAAGTCTGGTGGAGATTTTCCGTTTCTTTCTCGTCCAGATGAAGTAAATCTTCATCTTCAGGTATGAGAACTTTTAGTACTGCTTTCACTCTGAATTGTGTTTAATTACCAGTGAAAGAATGTAAAGCTTTTCTGTGAATTCTGATGTGCCTGTTGTAGTCGATGCTTGACTACTGCTTATCACAGTGCCCAGTTCACTAGGCACAGCTCATAACCCTCTTTCCCTTAACTGTTAATCACAGTACTCCATATTCTTAATAACAACATTTTATTGCTGCTAATCGGCTATATGTGTTTGCAAAGCTTACAATTAGTCTCTTCTATTGAACAGTTGCACTTGCGACGAGTCGGTGTTGAAGCCAGACCAGATTTAGTTCAGGGTCTACCACCAAAGGGCGGTGATGGGGAGAGTTCTAGGGAACAGGATGATGAAAGGGGAGACACTCATGACAAAAATGACGACGGCAAGACTGATTCTGCTGGTGCTAACCCTGCAACTGAAAGTGGACCGCTGTTGCTTCCAGAAAGTTCAAATCCTGATGATATGGATAACTTACTTCTAAGCTGTGCGAATGGTGTTAGTGACCGTGGTGAGATGCATATACCTCGTGTGCCTCTAGGCTTCACAGAGAGAAACATCCTGGAGTCTCAAGCTTTACTTCTATGTATGATTGCCCGCAATCTTGTTTTTCTCAACCATTTACTTCCTTCCAATCCTGCACAGTGTACATTAAGTGTGAGCAGTACCGGAAATTT